GCCCTCTGCTCTGTACACTCCACTGCGAACACAAAACACAACCACGTCTCCCACACTCAATCTAAGACTTGCAATGACTATCAAAACTCACTCTGAAATCCCCTGGGGGACAGCAACTCTTCACAAGTACTGTCAGAGGCAGCCAATGTCATTGACACTGTTGACTGACCTTTAAAATGGACCTCTGCTGATACTGGCATGAGAATAAGAATAGCTTGAAGCTGTGCACACAGTTTGGGCATGATTCAGTTTCATGTCAGTCTGATTTAATTTGTTACATAAAAAAATAATAATTAGCTCAGTCTCCAGTGAGGCAAACGCACTCTGGGCAAAGCTGTGAAGAGTCCTCCGAGGCTAAACAGACTGGGCTTAAACTTCTGTCAGACTGACAGAGTGGGGACACATAGCATCAGACCTTCAAGCCCCCTAAGCCTTAAGTTCAAATTCAGCACAGGGCAGGCAGACTTCTGAGAGTCTCTATGTGGTCTCATAGATTTGGTTCAAACAACCAATAACCCGCCCAATCCTGAGATCAAACTAGTCCTGACAAGTCCAGCAAGGTACAGATGTGTGCAATTATCTATACTGTGAGACATTAATATATGGATCACCCAGAACTCTACAGCTGAACTCTACAGCCAGATTGGAGATTTCTTCAGTGTGCAGATTGCTAAGAACAGATTCTATTTAGGTTAATAGTCTCAAACACTCACAGTACCTCCCACACTCCTGGGCCCTCCTCAGCATGCCAGGACCACATCATAAAGCAGGTCTTGGCCCTCGCCACTGATTCATCATTATGGAAATTCTACTCATGGAAGGCAGTGAAAAATATCAAAGGGGAAAATGCCCCTTGGTGCTTCCCCCTTGAAGGAGAGCTATAAAACAAAGTTTCATTTCCATCAAAAAATGAAAACACATTAATGGCAGAAACGTGGGCCCATCTACTTTAATCTCCCCATACACACTTTTCTCCCTCTGGTACAGTCACAAAAATTTTAAGAGAAACAAAAAAAAAAAATCTTTTTTTTTTTTTTTTGCCGAGGTTAAGGCATCATACCATAGTGTAATGGAATTTTAACAGATCCTATAAGCATAGCTTAGTCAACCAATCCTGAGCCTCATTAGAAATGTCTTTTGCATAGTCAAGCTTATACATGGTAAATGAGGACTGGGATACCAACACGGGTGATGATATGAGTTATTACCAAGTGCCCTTGTATTATAAGTAAATATAGTGAAGCAAAGGGCATAATTTATTTATAAATGTTCCTACTGACTTGTAATGTTGTGATATATATTGTATGTCTCTGTGTCAATCATTTAGGTAACAAATATCCAGCCAATAGTTAATTTTACTCAGTAATGTTTCTTGATTAAAGTGATTCTAATACATTGTTATAGCCATTAATCAACGAAATTTAATTACTATTAGCACAAATTCTAAACACCCTCAAACTCAAGTTCTAAAATGAAACTATTTAGCACTAGACACCAACATTGTGCACACTTTTATGGGGCACGGTTAGCACTCTCCATGAGAGCCACCTAGTGCCATGATCCAAACCATGGTCACGCCGCAGACGGAACTGCCTTAGTGGGCCTATCTCTCCTTCCCTTCCTTCTCTCTGCCATTAGCATCCTTCCATCTCTTCCTTCTCAACTCTTCCAGGGTGTGGTGTTTTGAGTGAAATTGCCCTCCTTGGCCCCCGATGATGGCATTATTTGGGGAGGTTTAGGAAGTTCCACTAAATTAGAAGTGTGTCACTAAGGTGAACTTTGAGAGCTTATGGTCTCAACCTACTGCCAGTTTGCTCTCTCTGCTTCAAGTGCGCTGCTGAAGTTGGAGCTTTTAGCTTCCTGTTCCTGCCTGAATGTCTGCCCACCATGATGATGACTAACTCTTGCTTGTTATTCTGGAGCCATATGCCCAAATATACTCTCCCTTCTGTAAGTTGCCTTGGTCGTGGTGTGCGATACAGAAAAGTGACTTAGACATGTGGCAGAGCTGGATGCTGCAACTGAATCTTGTCCTCTTTCCTCAAGTATCTAGTAAAACGAACCTGTCCCCTGACCTAATCTCTCAGGGTCACCTCTGTTTGGTAGGCAGGTACCAAGGATTGGTCTAGGTGTGAGGATAAAGCGATGAACAGAGCAATCAGAATCTAGCCTCCATCCAGTGCAGGAAATGAGAAAAGAATGTTGGTCATGGCTTTGGAGAAAAGTGAAGCAACATGGGGTGTGAGCATGTGGGGATCATGACAAGTGGGGGTATGAGAAGTGGGGGACATGAGAAGTGGGGGTGGGAGACATGATGGGCATGAGACACTCTGGGAAGGAGGGTAGAGAATTCCCACCAAGACCTTAGCCTCAATCCAGTTTCACTTGTGAAGGAATCACTTGAATTAGAACATTTTTGAACACTCAAAATCACCTCTCCCAAATTACTCTGAATATAACACAATGTTCTAGGCAGGGAGAGGTTAGAGCTTTTTAACCAAAACTCAAATTGTTCCATCTTGCTCTGGGAAAACCAATGAACTGTAGCCAGAATGAAGGAGAGGAAAGCAACTTTATCAAACTGTAGAATCACATTCTCCAGTAACTCCTCAAGTATGCTAACAAAGGGTGGCTAAAATCACATTTTTTTCTTGGTGAATAAAAAGCATAAAACTTCTGGACATGACAGAAGCAATACACTCATGAACTCACACCAGCTGTGGTTGCCTGTACAAGATCAAGCCAGCATGAGGGAGGGAGGAACCATTGGTAGTTAATAGATGCTGAGGGAGGAAGAATCAGGTCTTTTGGTTTGTTTGTTTGTTTTGTTTTCTTTTGTTTTTTAAGAGGGTGGCTCTTGGGAGGTTGTCCATGTTCTAGTAAATGGCCCTACACCCATGCACATGTGGGGGGACATTGCTAATAATTAGTGAGTAGTTCAAAATAAATAAATACATTAATAGAGGACATGACATGACATGGTGAGGACATGGCGAGGGGCCTCTGAGAATGATCAAAACACATCGCATACATGCATGGGAATTTCAAAGAAGAAATAAAGTACTATGTTAAAGACCTTTAAGACTCTTTATTATAAGGATAGAACAAACCTTAGCCAGTATGGTGGGGTGGAGCTCAGTGCACATGGGCCCCAAGACACTGAGGAGATTTGCAGATAGGACAAATGACACAACACTGTTCCAGCATCTTTCCTTTTTATTAGTATTAAAGAAGTGAATCTGAATGACATTTAATAAGCAAAACACTACACAACAACAATAACAACAAACACCACCTAACCTGCACATGTAGCATACACAAGCATATATGCTATGAGGATTTAATAATTCCCATCTAAATATGAAGAGAACTGGCTTTTTACCTCAAAAATAAGTTCAGTGTTGGTGTTGCTATCTCTAACATAGTGTTTAGTATTTAACATGAAGAACTACAGATCCCCAGGCTCATTATAGTCATGGATTTTATATTATGGTATAAATAGATTTTAAGAAATCATCTATATAATAAAATAAGTTCATTTTTGAATTGCAGCAGTCATTTTCTTCAATCAATAAAAATATTCCTTGATTATAAAGCAGCTTGAGTTCGCAAATATATTTCAGGAAAATAACTCTATTTGAAATACCACATTAAAAAAAAAAAGGCAACCAAGTGACCAGATTTAGATTTCTAAGATAGCATATTGCAAAACAGGTCAGCAGGTATATTTCTAAACACAAAGCAAGTTCCATCCTGAAGGATACTTTTAATTTCACAAAGCAAACTGTTGGAATATTTGTGTAGGAATTTCAAGTCTAAGTATTTACACTAGAGGATGAATTTTTACAAATAACAGGATGGTAACTTCAATACATAGCCACAAGATGAATGTGTGACATTATTGCATTACTATGGTAAGCTTAGTTTAACATGTATCCAAAACAATGAATTTCTCAGAGTAATTCTGCAGCTGTGTAGCAGGCACAACCCAGCAATTACAGCTAAGCCCCACCTACCCCAAACCCAGACACCATGAGCATCCAAACGGGTAACACACCCTGCCTAACACATTTTAATTTACTTTGTTCTGTGAAATACTTTTGAAAGGTTTTCCATATCCCAGGAGGAAATGATAGCAAACTCTCAAAAAATACAAAAAAAAAAAAAAAAAATTAAAAGGAGGAAAGTGCATCATGTTTCAAAGTGCTGTGCATGTGTCAGGAACATACAATGTTAAATACGTGTGCAAAAAATTCTGCCTTGAGTTCATAAACTTATAACTGCAAGCCTCTGGTGGTGCATACAGATGGGGCAGTCCAGTAGCAGAGGGGACACCTGAGGGCACACTGTTCGGAGGCATGCGCTGAGTCAGGGGACCCGCGTTCACTCTCGGTGCTGTTGGCCTACTAGTTAGTGGTTCTGGTGGGAGAAATTCCATCTCTGTGGGTGGCAATGGGTGCAAGGCAGGGCCAGACACTGCCAAAGCCCACCTTCCTCCTACATCTAGCTGCTCACAGGGGCCTTTTCCGAAAAGGCAAGTTTATCAAACATGTAAAAGATACTCCAGTTACGCTGTGACTTCTCTCTAGGTACTTTTTAGTAACAACCACGGACAGAAAAGAACATTCCAGAACACCTGGACAGGAAACAGATCACGTGAGCATCATGAAGCTGGTTAAAAGTTTTACCTCTGTGAAGGACAGAACATCATGTGCAAACATTAAGTGTAATGGTGAAGTAACCATCACACATAGCTTAATAGCACATTCTTTTGTTTTTGAGACAGGGTTTCTCTGGGTAACAATCCTTGCTGTCCTGGAACTCTCTCTGTAGACTAGGCTGTCCTTAAACTCACAGAGACTCTACCTCCCGAGCGCTGGGATTAAAAGTGTGCACCACCATCACCTGGCAGGACATAGTTTTTAAAAAGAACCATGACCCTCAAAGTTCATATGTGTGTTCCTTTTGGATTTTTTTGTTTTTCTTTTTTTTTTTTTTTTTTCTTTTTCTTTTATGAGGATTACTGTATTTTCAGCTTTTATCTAATATCTAAATAAAGTAAACCCTTTGTCATAAACCCTATTTTACATCTAGCACATATACATATTCAGAGAAGCCCATCTAATGCCTTAGACATTTAACTTAGCAACTCTCATCGACGAGCTTTGACCCATTAATCCCTCTGTAGGTCACTCTGCTTGGTCTAACCAGCACTCCATAGTTTGGCTTGCAGGTAAAATAGCGCTTGTCACCCACAGCACCGTCATTTTTTCCCTTGGCACTTCGGAGCTCCAGTCCAAGCCAGATGCCAGAAGCGAAGTCCGTGGGACCCACGTACCTAACGGTAGCCATTTCGTTAGAGCTCATAAGCAGGACCTGGGAGCCCTCATGCAGCTTTGTGGTACCCTCAAGGCCACCTGCTGTGGTGTTGCTGCTCCAGCTGCGGTGCAGTGTGGTCTTGGACCTGTTGGGAAGGGAAAGGAAGAACCGGCCTTAGACATGGAGCCACTGGATGCAGCTTCCACATGCACAGCAGGAAGGAACCTACAGCCACTTCCACGTTTGTTTAATTTACTACAGAGAAAAGTTTAGCATAATAACTTTATTTTTAGTTTTGAGCAATATAGCATTAGATGTTTGGTTGGGTTTTTTGTGTTATTTATTTATTTTATTTTCTTTTTGTTTTGTTTTGAGACAGGATTTCTCTGTATTGCTTTCGAGGCTGTCCTGAAACTCACTCTGTAGCCCAGGCTGGCCTCGAATTCATAAAGATCCACCTGCTTCTGCCTCCCGAGTGCTGGGATTAAAGGTGTGTGCCACCACTGCCCGGCTGCATTAGACATTTTTGTTTTCTTTTACTTTCTCATTCCTCAGAAGAATCTAAATTATAGGTGAAATCTTGCTCTATTTTTCAATTGTCATAAAGGGCATCTTTTATTTTAATATCACTATCTCTTTTTAATTAAATGTAAAAGGTAATATCCATTCATACAGTCAGAGGGCATTTGGATTTTTTCTTTCCTTTTATTTTTGAGATTATAATTTTAAAAATTGGAAATAGCAGTATCAGGAATATATTTCCAATTTCTAAATGTTTTTCCCTTTTTGCTCTTTTAAATCTACTCACATATATGTATATATATGTGTGTGTATATATATTCACACAGAATTTCAGTAAACAATTAGGAAACTTACATAACTTTAATTAATATATATTTTTAAAAGGAAACTGACATTCTGAATGTAGTAAATTAAAATTTCTTTTTGTTTCTTTTAAAGTGTTTATATGAAAACAAATCTTAAAACCCATTACTCTGGAAAACAAATTTTCAATAAAGATATAGGTATTTCCCATGGTCTCCAGTTATCCTTCACTTCTGCAAATACAAGAAGGTTTGGGCTATGCTGAATAGTATTCTTATCCTACAACACATCTCCTAAGATGCTCTAGAGGTGGCCCTTAGCACCTGCTATCTCTTTGAGTGGAACAAAACAGATCCAAGACTGCCCTGTCCCTAAAGTCCCCCACCCACCCTGTAAAAAAAGAAGAGGACTTAAAATGTATAATTAGGACTTCAGGGTTCAGAAACTTCCCTAGTCCACAGCTTCCAAAGCATTAAGGAAAACTGTAGCCTGAAAATACTTGTAGAGCCCAGCGTAATAGTACACACATATAATTCCAATACTTGAGGCTGAGGCAAAATGATCATGAGTTCAAAGACAACTTCAGTTACATAATGAAATCTGGGCTAGCGAGGGTTGTGTGGTGAAACCCTGACTTAAAACAGAATATAAGGATCCAGGCATGGCAGCTTATGCTGTAATACAAACAGTCAAGATGCTGGGTCAGTAGGGTCAGGAGTTCAAGGACAGCCTGGGCAATATGAAGAACTACTTCAGGAGAAAGAGGGAGAAAGAAAGGGAGGAAGTATATAAAATAAAACAGAACCACTTATAATTACCTATCACATCAAATGCATAATACATTTGATAACACAGAAACAAATTTTTACTGAATACACAAAAGAAACAGTTGAGTTCTATTCTTACACAAAAGCATTTATTCATTCATTCTCCAAATTCACACCAAAAAGATGGTTTTTGACACCTCATGATGAGTTTATCTGAATTTCCTTATTAATTAAAAAAAAGCTCAGGAGGCAAATATTGGGGTGAACAGCTGATTGATTAGAGAAGTGGTGAAGAGACCGTGACCGCCTCTCCCTCTCCTTCCCCATCCCAAAGGCCCTCCAGGATCTGTCTAAGCCCCTCCCTACTACTTCCTGTGTCTCTCCATATGTATCCTAGGTCCTCCAAAACTTCTATGCACTGAGCAGGAATGGGGCAAGTGGGCACCCGTCTTCTCACGCTAGTGAGAATGTGTCACATTTCCCCTCATGTAACAGGATGGGGGCTATAGTCTTTATTATCTGAGGTATGCTCCTCCATGCCTAGTCTCTCCAGAGAGGGTTTTGTTTGTTTGTTTATTTGTTTGTTTGGGTTTGGGTTTTTTTTAACCACAAATGGTTATTGGATTTTTTAAACTGAAATGATCAAGTGTCCCTTTCTGCAGAGACAAGACTATGCAGAAATACCCCCAGAGACTCCATCAGGATACCCTAGAGTTGGCCAACATGTGAAGCAAAGTGGTGGTTAGAAAATTAGCATGCCAAGACCAATATCCTTCCCATACACCAAAGACAACCTGAGAAAGAAATCATGGAAATAATCACACTCACAACAGTCAACAAACACACCTGGAATAAACCTAACTCAGAAAGTCACAGACGCTTACAATGAAAATTTTGAAACACTAAAGAAATAGATTGAAGATGGAGAGACCTCTCATGCACATGGGCTTGTAGCATTAATATTGTGAAAAAAGCTATCCTACCAAAAGTAATGTTTGAATTCAATGCAATACACATCGTAATTCCAATGCAACTCTTCACAGAAATTGAAAAAAAAATAATAATCTTAAAGTTCATATGGAAATACAAAAGACCCCAGATATCTAAAACAACTATTACAATAAAAACTCTACCAGACATAACCATTCCTGACTTCAAATCACCCTAGAGAGCCACTGTAAAAACGCATATATAGCACTGGTATAAAGCCAGACACACTAAACAGATGCAGTACAAGCAGGGACCACGGTATAACCAAGCCCCCATGCCTACAGCCACCTGATTGTTTACAAAGATGCCAAAATACACACTGCTGGAAAGAGTATCTTCAACACACAACACTGAGTATATTGGACAGTCACGTAAAGATTGAAATGATCCTTCACTCATCCCCTGCAAACAGATCAATCCCAAGTGGATCAAAGATCTTAATGTTAAACCTCAAACACTGGGACTACTAGACAAAAAGAGTACAGAGGACTCTTCAGGATGTAGGCTGAGGTGAGGACTTCCTGAACATGACCCCATTCACCTAGGAAATAGAACCAACAGTCAACAAGTGGGACTTCCCAAAATGAAAGTTTCTCTATCACGGAGTAAACAGCTCATCCAGTGAAGAGGCAGTCCACAGAAAGGCAAAGACAGAAGATGGATAGACAGATGATGGATGATGGATGGATGGATGGAAAGATGGATAGATAGATAGATAAATAGATAGATAGATAGATAGATAGATAGATAGATAGATAGATAGATACATAGATACATAGATACATAGATACATAGATACATAGATACATAGATAGATAGATCAGGCGGGCGGGCGGGCGGGCGGGCGGGCAAGCAGGCGATGCATGGATAGGTAGATGGTGAGTGGGTGAGGGAGGTAGATGATAGATAGATAGATGATGGGAGGGTAGATGGATGAATGGATGCACGGATGGATGGATGGGTAGATGGATGAGTGGGTAGGATGAGTAGATGAGACAGACTGACAGATGATACAGATGATAGAGAGACAGATAGATGATAAAGATACATAGACAGACGGACAGACAGATGGGAGAGTAGTAGGTGGATGATGAGTGGATAGGTCGACAGGTAGGTAGGTATTTATTTATTTTATGTGTATGGATATTTTGCCTAAGTGTTTGTTTATGCATCACTGCATCACATGTATATGGTGCCTGCAGAGGTCAGAAGGCACCAGATCCTCTGGGATTGGAGTTACAGGAAGTTTTATGTGGCTGTAAAGGTGCTGGGAATTGAACACCAGTTCTATAAAGGACAACCAGCGCTCTAACCACTGAGCAACCTCTCCAGCCCCAATCCTGTATTTCTGAATGGATAAGATCTGGGGAGAAAGGAACTGCTATGCATTGTTGGTGAGAGTACAAACTAGTATAGCCACTATGGAAATCAGTGTGGCAGTGCCTCAAGAAACTAGAGCAAGATCTATCATCTGACCCAGCTATAACTCCTTGGTATATATATGCAAAGGACTCTTATTTCCTACTTCAAAGATACACACTCATCCATGTTTATTGTTGCTATATTCACAATGGGAGGATATGAACAGCTAAGATCTCAGTCAACTAATGAACAGATAAGACTATGATACCTACACACAATGGAATTTTATTAATATGTAAAGAAAACTGAAATTATAGAATTTGAAGGTAAATTGATGGAACCCAGACCCATAAAGACAAGTTATTACCTGCTCTCACTTATATGTAGATCCTGGCATTGTATCTTTAAATTTGTTTAACTTGGAGTACCTATGAAGCCAGACAACTACTAAGGGGCCCTTGGTGGGGGTGGGGGAGACTTTTCAAAGGGAAGTTAATTGAACACAGGTGATAAGAGAGGCAAAGGGGAATAATGGCAATGGATGTGCAAGTGGGGAGAGGGATGGGGGTGTAGGACACAGGATAAGGTGAGACAAAGGATAATTAACTATAAGGGTGCTTGGAAAAGCCATATAGAAACCACCATTTCATGTGTCATGTAAGCCAGGCTGGAGAGGATGGCTGGTACTCACTGTTCTATCATGAGGCCTAGAGTTTGGACCCCAACACCCTGGCAGCCCACAAATGCCTACAACTCCAGCTCTAGGACCTGACATCTTCTGGGCCCACTGGTGTGTGTACACATGTGCATGCACACACACACATAAATGCACACACACAACAACAACAAAAAATCCTAAAAACAAAAGGAGTTTATTTGAATAAGGGATAATGCTCCTACAAGAAGTATAGGTTGACAAATAAAAGGTCCAGTGCCAGGTATGAGATACCTCCCCTCAAGCTGCTGGCCAGGGGTGTCTTAGAAACCACAAAAACAATACCAGCTATTGCCACTGCTCTTAGTTGCCCACCAGAAACTTATGGTAAGACCCTACTGCTGAAGGTACCACACAATTTAGTCACAAGACATGAAGAAATGACCAACTTTCTCCCTATGCAGAAAGGTGCTATGTAGGCTGCTGGGAAGAAAATTCACCAACAATCTTAGCTATCTGTGTACCCTGTGGGTCACAGTAAGGAACAGTGTGGCAAATTATTCCCAAGGGAACAATAGTGGCATGAATGTTATGGGGGTTACCAACTGCTTACTGATTGGATTAAGGGACCATTCCATTGGAGAAAACGCATGCCTAGCACTGTAAATCTAGCTAAGAACCCATGTTTTGGAAACCCACAGGCCACAGGAACAGACCAACTACTATTATTTTGCTAAAAGGACATAGTATCAAAATGCCTCTAAGTCCACATTCCTATAGCCATAGATTAGTGCGGCTCTCAGACTATATCAAAGAGTTTCTTTGTGTGATGGATGAATTTGTCACAGAAACAACTGGTCAAGGTACAGAGAAGTGTCTATGGAATGCTCAGCTACAGATGCAACATCTGTATCACACCTCCTTACTCCAAGGTTCAGGCACCATTGTGGAAAAGGGGCCAGAGAACAAATGTAAGAACCAGAAGTCATGGAGGACTAGAGTGAAGCAGTATCTACTGAACATATCAGAATGGCTGCACTCAGGAACTCACAGAAGCTATGGATGCCTGCATGTGACCAGCACAAGATCAAGCCATCAAATATCCCTAACATCACCAGCCACTATCCCTACCACCACCACCACCCCCAGCTGAGGAACTACTGGCAGTTAATGGCTTCTTGTAGGAAGGAGAGTGAGTTTTCTTTAAGAGCATAGCCCCTGGTAGATCCATCATATTCCAGAGAATGGCCCCACACTTATGAGTTTATAGGGGTATAAATTGGTTTCAGTGGACTTCAAACTAACAAACAAACAAACAGAGAGATTCAAAATGTAGGACCAAGAGAGAAGAATGCCAGTCCCTCTCTCTGGTAAAATAAGACCACATGGAAATAATTAGATTGATAGAAATGGGTTAATATTTAAGACAGAGCTAGCCAATAAGTAATGCTAATAACATGTCAACAGCATTATATCTAATACAATGTCTCTGTGTATTATTTGGGGCTGGCACAGTTCTGGGACCAGGCAGGCGGGAAAACATGCTTGTAACAAAAATGGTACCTTCAATGTAGCTACTAAGAACTTTCACTTAAAACTTAACAAAAGCTTAAGAAAGGGTTTTAGAAAAAAAGAACGGACACAAGTGAGGCTTCTTAGTAATAGCATTTTTCGGGCTCTGTTTTGCTAGAGACAAGCACAAACTTGCACAGCTCCTTTAAGAGAGATTTCTAGACTCAACATAAGCAGCAAAAATCACAAGGCTTTTAAGAAGAGCTGCTAACAATTCAATGGTGTGTATGAACAGGTGGTTTAAAAAAAAAGAAAAAGAAAGAGAGTAGTTGGGGCATTGGTGGCACATGCCTTTAAATCCAGTACTTGGGAGGCAGAGGCAACTAGATCTCTGTATCTCTGTAATTTCAAAGTAAACCTGGTGTACGGAGTGAATTCCAGGTCAGCCAAAGTTACACAGAGAAACCCTGTCTCAAAAAAAAAAAAAAAAAAAAAATAAAAAAAAGTAAAAGAAATAGGGTAATAAAAAAGTTACGTGAAGATGGAAAGCATGCAAAGTCTGGATACTATATGTTATGGTGTTGTCTTTAAATTGCTCAATTACTAAGGAAGAGATAATTGCTACAATACACTTGATTAGCAATACTGCTAAATTATTCCAATTTGTATATTTTAAAAATGCTTTGACTTCAAAATTTAAGTATAAGGACAGGTTACTGGGGAAAAGGATTTCTATTTTTGTTTCTACAGAAAACGAAAAGCTGTGGACTCCTTCTAGACAAACATGGTTTGATCAAGCAAGACCCCCTGAAGCAGTGTCCAGGAGATCCAACATTCAAACAGCTGGGACAAGGCAGCCTTGCAGACTGCATCCAGGATTTCTGTGTCTTCTTAGGATCCCCAAGACATCACCCCATACCAGCAGAAAGCAGTTTGGAAAGAACGATGCCCAAATTCCCAAATATTGTCTATAAATGTTTGTTTTCATTTAAATGTGGTCAGTTATAAATGGGTAATGACCACAACCAATCTCTTTAAAGATAAAAAGGGGATTATGGAATAGATATGAATATTTTGTTTTGAAATAGATTTTCATTTATTGATATAATTTAAGGTCAATTTTGTGATACGTATATTTTTCCTCTTGTTTAGGTACTGTGTTTATATAGCTCATTTAAAAATGTAATGTATAATTTAGTACAGATTTTAGATAGTTACCTATAATAGTCAAAACTTTAGTTAGGTTTTACCTATAATAGTCCAAACTTATAGTTAAGTTAGTTAGGATTTCTACATATACAGAGATATATCTGAGATGAATAGGCTTTCTTCCAACCTTTCAAAGACCTACAGAATATGGCATTTAAAATGGCTTAGGGTTTTTCTTGACAGTGAGACATAACTGCTCCTGGCAATACCACCTGCATCAGAAAAGAAGATGGACATTGAAGAAACACATATGGAGTTTGCCTCCAATATGGAAAGACTAGCCATTTGAGCTAGTCTAGACTGCTCTTGTCTAGACTCTTTGCCTTATGCTGTATAAACTGGACATGCAGGACCCACAGGAAAGTGACTGCTGATATAAGATTGACATTGCTACAGGGTTCCTGCTTCATGAAAGAGTCTGCCAGACATTCTGCAGGATATAGAGAAAAGTGACTGACAAACTGCCAATATAGGTGGACAGTTTAAAGTTTCCTGTTTTGCTGAGGAGTCTGCCAGACACGCTATGGGCTATGGGCTGAAGATGGAACATTGCAGAAGAACTTCAGGTAACTGATCAGGTAACAAGATATTTCTGTCATTTTTAGAGTTTATAAATTATCCTTCTGTCATCTTTGATGGAGCTGAAGAATGATAGTTATGGTTATAATTTTCCTTAGTTAAGATTAAAGATAAGTTACATATAGGACTTCAGACTCACAAAAATAGGATAGATGATGGAATATTTTCTTTAAATCTTGCTAAATGTTAATGGACTAAATATTGTTAACTGTGGTTCATGTTTGATAACTGTTTTGGTATATATTTTACTATGTTAAAGTTAAAACCCTTTTAATTTTAGACAGAAAAGAGGAGATGATGGGAGATGTCATTCTGTAAATATATTTCTCTGATTGGTTAATGAATAAAGCACTGTTGGCCAATAGGAAAGCAAAGATAGGTGGGACTAGGAGACTAGGAGAGAGGAAGTAGTAGGGAAGAGAGTCAAAATGTAGGACCAAGAGAGAAGAATGTTGGGCCCTCTCTCCGGTAAGACCACATGGAAATAATTAAATTGATAGAAATGGGTTAATATTTAAGACTGAGCTAGCCAATAAGTAATGCTAATAACAGGCCAACAGCATTATATCTAAAACAAAACAAACAAACAAACATGAATTTGGGAGGGAATATGGGATGAATATGGGAGGAATAAGGGGTGAATATGATCAAACAATGGTGAACATTTGACATTCCCAAAGGGTTAATAAAAATATCTTATTTTTTAAAAGAGTTTCTCTAAACAGGTATTGGTGTCATTGTGTTTACATATCTGTGAAGTTTGATTTCTTGCTATTTCCACAGGAAAAGCAGGTAAGTATTACTACTACGTGCTCCACGTATGCACTGTGCACATAAGACCTGACACTGTGTTCCTGCCAGCGATCAGTGCTGCTTCTTTCCCCTCTATCCTCTGTACCATCCTCCTCACACCAGTTCTGCTGCCCTCCATCTGCAGAGTCCTTTCTGTCCACGCTGTGTCTTCTCACCAGCCCCATGCTGTCTAAGAATGTCTGACTATCTTCAGTAAACTGGAGCATCAAGTTACTGTCCTTATCTCCCAGCTATTTGATCGGGGAGGCCAATTTTAAACTCTAAATTGGTGATAGATTTGAGCAATATACACAATAGGGGAATCAAGAACATTTAAAAAAAATAATTCTAAGCAATTGCCTTAAGCAGACGGGCCTTACATTTCTTTCATGCATGGGTGAGATCTGATTGATTCAGTAAACAGGACTTCAAATCCCCCCAGCTTCTATTAGTGGCCATGCTAACCTCTTAGAAGAGAAAACACACGCAGTGCGCTGCTTTTAGCCACTTGTGACATTTTTAATTGAGCTTTCAAAGGAGGAAGAGAGAACTCAAAACACCAATCACACTTTCTCTCTTATGTGCTAACATTCTATCGAGCAAGGTGTGAGACACAAAACTCCATTTTTCTTCCTTCACGGAATCCTGGTATGCTCATCTTGAAAGGCAGTTTCCTAAGTCTTCTCAATACTCACTTGGCAAAAGCATTTCTCCTGTTAATCTCTTTCTGGGAAGAAGCAGAGGTTGTGCTGAAACTTCTCCTAAAACCTAAATTTGAGAGTAAAAGTCAGAAGAGAAAAATACGTCATTTGTTTTCAATAAACTCTACGAAGTTATTTTTAATTACTTCTACAGATGTTCTATGATACCAAGAGGTTTTCATTTTTTCCTGGAGGAAACTGTTATGCAACAGTTCCTTTAAGACAAAACCCCCCATCCTACAGTAAGGAAGTGTCTTAAGATCAGGAAGTAAACCATTCAAAAGCCTTAGGAAGTCCCTAAAACTGACCAGACACAACAGGCCCTTCTCTCCTGAGCATACACAGGCAAAAGAGACAGGAGACCAGATCTACTGCTTGAAAGCCAACCTGCCTAAAAGATACTCAGACCACCTGAGCTGCCTGAAAGAGCTGTCTGTGGGCTGTGCACAATACTCCAGCTTTCTACCTTTTGGTCACTTCTGCTCCTGTCTATAACCTTTCACCCACATTCCTGTAAGGAGCCCCGATAAAATTCGCTGGTTCACCAAGTTGGACTTTGGTGGCATCCTTACTTTGGTCTGTTGTTGGTTCCTACAGGGTCTGAGTAAACACTTGTTCATATCTCCACAGGAACAGTATCACACAATGAAAAGAAAACAGTGCCTACTCAGAACATAACTAGCTTAGGTTTCTGAACAATTTCCTCTCCTTGCTTTCTTCACCAAGCTCTGCTCACACAGGAATAAGTGATGAGTAAAATATGACTTTTGGAGCTTTCTCCTGTAAGATTTCCTGAAAACTGAGTAACACCAAGTCATATACTGATAAAATTGACTCAGTATATGATTAAATATTACAATCTTGATAATTGTATGGAAAGGATGTTTTTCAAAAACTATCATTAAAAATATTCCAGTAACAAAACACTGAATAATAAACTTCTGAAAACACTGAATAATAAACTTCTGAACTCCTCAGTATGCCCCTTTCCATACAAAAATTTTCAAAGATCAAATGACTTTACAAAAGGTAGAGGTACAGAGAGAAAACAGATTTCCAATTCAGGCAAACCTGAAGAAATCTCTTGATTAAAATAACTCCCAATTTAAAACAACTATAATTTTATAGAATGTACTATTGAGCTAACTCAAAATCATATTTCTGTATCTGTGTGTGTGTGTGTGTGTGTGTGTGTGTGTGTGTGTGTGTGTGTGTGTACCCATGTGTGCATGCCTGTGTGTGCATACTGGGGGCACACTAAGATCCCCCAAGTACAATTTCAGAGAAGCCAAACCTAAAAAGAAAGAAGCCAGGAGAAGCTGCCAAGTGCCCAGAGTACAAACTTGTACCATAGGGTTGCCGCTCAACCCCTGGGTAGTGAATTCCTACATGGGACATGGGAAAGGAAGAAGTAAGGGCCTGATACATGGGGGATCCTACCCAAGACTTCTGTTAAAGGAGCTCATGCTCAATATAACTTGGGGCAAGAAACAAAATGAAACAATGACTTTCTTATCAGTGCAAGGCTAGAATTACTGCTCTCAGATGTGGTGGCCACTCACAAATCCATGTTATTATCTATGTTAAAAAAAAGAAAAGAAAAGAAGACAAAGAAAACCACTGCAGAGATTGTGAGTTAACTCAGATCTAGGGTGGCAGTGCTTCCAGGCAAAAACAGTAGAAGTCAATACATCTGAAGGCATCAAAGAACTGTCATTAAACAAGCATTTCACAGTGATAAATTACAAAGTCACAAGGAAAGTAGACACTGAGTCAGGCTCAACAGGGACAGGCTGCAGAGGTAGACATAGCAAAGCTTCAGCTATTGACTTAGTTAACATAAAGTAATCAATTCCACAGAAATAAAAGGAGGTGGAGAGTGTCCATGTTCACAGACAGATTGGAAGTAAGACCAGATCTTCCCAACTTCATCAAAATCTCAGCATGTTACTATGTGGATTTCAACAAAATGATAATAAAGTTTATATGAGAAGGCAAAGAACCCAGAATAACCAACACAATATCAATGGAGAATAAAGTCGGAGGACTGGCACCATTTAATGTGAGGAATTACTGTAAAACTACAGGAATCAGAACAGTGTGGTATTGGTGAAAGAAAAGATGACTGCTAAGGAACACACTCAAGGGTGACCTCTGGCTGGCACAGAGTGTGTGTGTGTGTGTGTGTGTGTGTGTGTGTGTGTGTGCGCAAAAAGATGTGGAGACACACACTCACACTCACACACACACACACACACACACACACACACACACGAGGACAATGGACACTCAGACACAATGGAGAAGACCACTGGAAAGATGGAAAAGTGCCAGAAGAGCAGCCCAGGAAACTCACACAGCACCATATGCCACCAGGATTGTCACATCAAAACATGTCCACTAGAATGGTGATAATCCATGGCCATGAGGTTGACTGCAACAAATATCCAAGGATCAGAATAACTATTTTATAAACAGCTATCCACAAATGGAAAAAAACAAACTCAATCCTTATCCCACACAAAGTCAATTCTGGGTAAACTGAAACACAAAACCTTAAAACAATATTCAGAAAATAGCACTGTGGTTTCTGTCTCATGAAAAAAAAAAACTTAATATAAAAAAACACGAACCATGAACTGTTTCATTCTTTGACTACATAAAAATTAAAGAAATATTCTCACCAAAGATGTCAGAAAAGTAAAGATATGTCATCAGCTGGCACATATTTGTAACACACAAAACCAACAAAAGATTCATCCCCAAAGTAAACAAGAAATCTTCAAATTGGCAAGATAAGAAGCAAATGGCCCAAAAGAAGAATGAGGGAGAGGCTTAAACAGAAGAGAGGAAATGTGTGTGTCCCACAAACTGAAAATTGAAAAGGACCAACTGCTTCCACATCAACTAATTAAAATCTGGAAAAAGCAAATTAAAGTCACAACAAAAGTACTATTTATATCTAGCAGAGTAGCAAGTGTTTCCATGCCCAACAAGATGGCAGTTGTGGAGGTTAGGGGAGCAGAGGCTGAGGGATGCATGCAGTGCAAACACCTGGTGTCCCCTAGGGAGGGCACAGGGATGATAGCCATGCTTATCAACCCCAGGGCAACGTCTACACGTGTGTATAGTTAGTAATAATAATAAAAAAAGGACACAGCAAAAATGACCAGCAGCTATACTGTCAGTCACATACTCCACTGAAATGCTAAAAAACAAAATAGTAGACAATGGAATCAAAATATTGTTCACTGATACAGCTGCACATGGTAGAAAAGATCAAGAAAATCAAAGGAATTATGAGGCTCACAACCATAGGGTGGGGTTTACAAAAGGGGAGGGAGGTGGGAATCAGCTGGGAGGCTTACATTGCATGATACAGATGCATTCCAGACACTCTTTAGTAGAAAGATATTGATATAGGTACTAAACAATAAAAACGCATTTCAATGAGGGAAAGTGAAGAAATACTTGAAACTAAATTTTAAAGCCATCGTCTTACCTGGATAAGAACGATTCTGCTTATTTGAAGATATTTCTGAAAGTGTATCCAGGGAATCTGATAATCTGTGAAGAAAACAAAGAGATATTGTCCGGTTAGATGTAGCTGGTCTTCTGGTTAGGGTGAACTCTCAAATGATGCCCTCACATCAACACTGGTATTTGCCATCCCATTCACTTGACAGCACTGACTGGGCAACCACATGAGCCAGGAAAGAGCATGGGAGGCAGGCGATAACACAGACAGGGTCTCACTACCAAGGAAAGGTAGCACAGGAAATTCAGCTCATCTGAAACAGGAGCCTTACTTCTGACATTTACGTGCTTGGTGGCATTTATGGATCTGGGAATTGAACCCTGGGCCTTGGCAAGTGACAGTCCTGCCATTGTGCTGTACCTGCTGCCTTGTTATTATTCTGTCATTGCTGCTGCTGTTTTCTCAGTGCTAGGAATTGGACCCACAGTGACTTCTGACTTTCCTTTCAAATTTTATCTCCAAAGGTAAAACTAAACACTATGGAGATAAGTTTATTTTATACCAAGTTTAATAGATATAAAAATAAAATTGTAAAAATATCACCAATTCTAATATTGGAAAAAAGAGACCAGCTGAATTTCTGATAAACCTGCACAACAATATAATCCAAAGCCCTCTATGCTTGACTCTGCCCACAACTGCAAGGGTTGCCTCCCAGTGAGGGTCGGTCAGTCTTTCTGTCTGTCTGTCTGTCTGTCTGTCTGTCTGTGTCTCTCTCTCTCTCTCTCTCTCTCTCTCTCTATATATATATATATATATATATATATTATGTATATTTGAATCATTATTTTTAAAAAACAAGGTCCTGAAAGCCTCATTTTCTTTCACTCATTCACTGATCTAAACCTGCAAGTCCTTCATCTGTCAATCACTTCCCCAACAAACTTTATTTCCATAAAAAACAAAAATCCTGCAACCTCTGCAGTGTATTGAGTTGCATCCCAAAGTTCATATGCATCATTTTACAGGACACACAATACAGCACAATCAAGGAGGGCTTGATGGACAGAAAGCCTACACCAGGGAAGCAGCAGGTACTGGAATGAAGAGGTGATGGACAGCTAAGAGGAAACTTCTTCTGCAAGTGATGAATTCATTAGAAATAGGTCCAGCAAGGACAGAAACACACGAACGCCATGCTCACTAGGACCCATTAAGCAGTCAGGGGAGGGGTCAAATTTGATCTAGTGAGTGAGCTTCTTTAGACTGCCTTTAAAGAATATTCATTGGTGTTATTAACCAAGACAATTTACTAAATGAAAATTGTGTAATGACAGAGTGGGAAAGCTATTCAAACAGAGGAATCATGTGGGCAGATGCTGGGACAAGCGCCCATTTTAAAAACAGAGGGGAGAAATAAAAAAAAAAGTCAGCTTTGATCCCGACACACTAGATCCTGAAGCACTAGAGGTCAGAGTGTGACTAGTCACCCAGAAGTCTCCAGCAGTCCCAAGTTTAAAATTTTCCTGTCTTGAAGACCAGTGGGGCTTTTAAAGAGCTCCAAACTGGCTTGCATTAGAAATGCCTTAAAATCAGAGACCATGTCTGTTTTGTTTGCTCACAGAATGCCTAGCACAGCACAAAGTGCTAAAAGACACTTAATAGTATTTGATGATGATGAATGAGACAATCAGAAGATGACAGGAAGACAGCTGGATGGAGACAGCAGTTCATTTCAACAGAAACGGTTTCTTCTGAGAAGTGGGGGTTGCTTTCAAATGAACTACCTTGGAGAAGACCAAAGGGAAGGCAAGTGAACCAGAGTGGAGCCAATGTGTGCTTCCTAAAGAAAGCAATGAAAATACAAAACTACAGAGAAAGTGTGGCTTCATAAATGAAAGCGGAGAAAAGGCTGTGGTGGCACAGAAAGCACAGGACTGGAAATCAGAGCTGACCAGTACCCACTATGCCTGAAATATATATACCAAATTCTGTGCTCTAGGTAACTGAAAGTGGAAAAATTCCAGTCCTCATGACTGAGAGACAAATCAAACTAGTGCAAGGTAGTATGTCAATCACCTGCCAGACCCGGGTCCAGAGAAGAATCACAGAAGCCCCAGTAACTATTACAGGATTATGGGGAAGAGCTCACTTCTGACTCCAGGCACCTGAGGTTCAAATCCCCACTGCAGAGCATAGTTGGCATTAGCTCTCTGGGACCCACAGGTTGCTTTAAGTCACTGATACAAGGACAGCACTGTGAACAATGTCCCAGTGCTGGTAAGTGCTATCTGCTAAAAGCATGGGCTTCAGAACAACAGTATAATAACAACTCTGGGCTAAGCACAGCCCTTCCCAGCCCGTCTGTAACTCAGCCATGTTACATCAGCTCTGCTACTTTTTCTCTGGAACACTATTTTCCCACCTGTAAGCTGGGAATAAACAGAGCAGTTCATGACTCCCTGGGTCTGCAGAGGGCAGTGATGCACACCACTTGGATGCTCAGTATAGAGCCTACCATTAAATAAATACTTGATAAAAGTTGATAATACTTAGTGTTATTTTCCCTGAAGTGAAGAAACCTTAAGAGCTACAACGCTGTGTATGCTGACGGCTTTGTTGCTATAAAGGATAACGTCAAATACACTGGAAATGAAGAAAATTAACATCAAAGGCATATGTAGATGATACTGAGGAAGAAATACGATTTTTAAAAACTTGACTTTGCCCAGAAACCACCATCATCCAGATAAAAGGGAACCAGGAGAGACTCCAGAAACTGATACAGTTCCCCTCTCATGAGTCTGATTACACCATGTGTGTTGTAGCTTGCTCAGAGATCACAACCCCTCTTCCAGCCTCTGAAAATAAGAGCCAGGGCCTACCAGCTCCACATTTCACAGAAGTACACGAGGGCCTGTGTTTTGGATCAGCCCGCTTTTAAAACCAGAGTGAGGTGTCTCACCAAGGGACACTCCAGAGGCTTGTTACACATGAGTCCCTGAGACTTCGCTTCCCCCGAGAACTACTGCCTATCTATTTTTGAAAACTAAGGGAATCAGAGGAAAAAGCCATTTTGGTTCCATTAGGTTTGTAGGAGAATGAATGGGTGCCTGCTGGCAGGAAATTTAATGTAGTTAGGATGTGACTGTAGCAATCAGAGAGCATTTTTACTTTTGTTTGCATGACAGATTAAGCTTGCTCCTCGCACTGTTCTTAGCAGCGAACGCCACTTCTAATAGCCTACACACACTCATAGGGTTTGCAAATGAGGGAGAAAAGAGGTTTTTAAAATTGCAAATCCTCAGCAAGGCAAATTTAGCTTCCCATGAGCCTTTCCTCCCAAGAAGGTGGCCAGTTAACCCATTGAAGGAATGCATGTGCTTATCTGCCAGATGAAATTTGGGTTCCTGTGTACCACGAGGAATCACAGAGTCTGTGTAAACAGATACACATCCCAGTGTTTTCTCACCTCTGTACCCTGGATGGGGGAGCAAATATTCCATATCGCGGAGAACAACTAAAATACTGCACACCTCCAACAGAACCATCATTCTTCCCATGGGGCTTCTCCAGCTCTATGCCATACCAATACCCTGGAACATGAATATTGCATTTTAAAAGCATCACACTCCATTCACAATCATTATGCGGTAATACGAACTCAAAGTCTAGATGGCTCAGTATTCTCACAAATGATGGAGATGATGGAAGATCATCATGATCGTTAAGCTTTCAAATGATAAAATTATAAAATAAAACTTGAAAATTTGAAAAGTGGGAGAAACATTTTAGCGGCATAATTGCACAGCAGTACATTAAGGGAGAAAAATAAAATAGACAAACTCAGATTTGCAGAGAATTAGCTATTATGCAAGGGGAGCCCCACCAAGATATATCTTAAGACTATATTGCAAAAGAAGCTGTCCTTGACTCTAACAGCATGCTTCCATGAGAGCAGCACGGAATGATATTGAGAATCATAAATCCTAGCATGGACCTCTCTCACTCTTCGTTTCACCCTCCCAAGAGTGAAACACTGCAAACAATCATTAAATAATTAAACAAGGGCAGAGATAACACGGAAAACACAGGGCAGCATAGTGATGTCACTCTGTCTTCTAGCTAAATGAAGAGTCTTAGATATGGTAATAAAAAACAAAACCTGTCTAAAAGACAGTATCTACAGGCCTCACTCAGAGAAAGGCAAGTCCCTAAAGAGACTAAAGCCGAAGCAGCACGGCTGCACGCAGGGAACATGAACTAAATGGGCATATTCCTACATCCAGGGCTCCTGAGTGTGCCCAAGACTCACATGCCTCACAGTTTACATACTTGTGGTCTGAGATAAGAGCACAGGGGTGACCCTGTTTGGTCATTTACAACCAGTAGCAAATAAAGAATAAGCAAGTAAGTATCAAACAGCTCACTACATATAAATTAGGAAACATAAAATGTATCCCTTCTTTCAGATTACTGGCTCAGGGTCAGTTCCAATTTCAGGAACCTTAAAAAGCCAACTCAGAATAAGTTCTCATTTTGGTTTTTTGTTGTTGCTGTTTTTGTTTTTTGTTTTTTTTGTTTTTAATGTTACACCTAGGCCCACTACATACTAAGATTGGGGCTGAAAAGATTCAAGCACAGACAGTGTCTTTTATATTTGAGGGCCCTACTATGCAATATAAGCAGTGTCCACAAGCCTCTTGTCTAACCACACTAATTCTTTGAAAACAGACTATAAGCTTTCTGAGTTGCTTAAAACAGGTTAGTCTGGGTGGAATGATTTCTGAGTGCCAAAGTTGTGATTTTCCAGTCTTACTTCCTTCTGCCTTTGACACACCATTCCATGTAGCTGTTTTCTTTAATTAAAAGTCCCATTCTAACTGGCTACATTTCTGTGACATGATTATTATATCTTTTGAAAATGCATGACATACAGCAGAAATAAGTGTATTCTGGCACAGTAGTTGTGAAAATAGCCAAGCAGAGAGCTATCTAGTGTGAGACTCAAGAGATCTGGACTCTAAAATAGCTCAAACAATGCACTGACTCAAACTAAAAGCGGCACTAATCCCAAAGAATGTGAGGGGATTTGCCATGGCTCCCATGCTTCTCTCAGACACAGTAGGGGGATGCTCCTGGTGAACCTCTAAGGGTTCAGGCTCATCTTCTAGAACATGAGCTTCTGGGTGTGCAGGTGTTGCCTAGCCTGCTTAGCTCCAGCCCTGCTGAGGTGCAGATATTCTGCCCCCTATTAATATTGTAATCACTATAATCCTATAGGCCTAGGATTGGTACAGTTTAGGGCGGCATCTATGACACTGTGGCAAGCTAACTTGCTAGTCTGCAAACAGAGAACAATCTCAGCTCCTTCGTGGGTCTTAGCAGAACACTACACTACAAACTTATTTTTCAATAGATACTGTAGGTAACCTTTTCCTAAAATGCTGCAATGCCACCATGTGTTAATATGGCATATTGCTACTTAAAACACAATTAGTTAGAATTTTCATCTTTGTAAATACAAAGGTTGATCATCTTTACCTTTTAAAAATATTTATTATTTCTGTTCATGTATGTGGATGTGAAACTGTGTGCATTTATGTGCACCACATGTGCGGGTACCATGGAGGCCAGAGGTCATCAGGTCCCCTGGAATTGTGAGCCACCTGATATGAATGCTGGGAACTGAACCCAGGTCCTCTGCAAGAGCAGTAAGTGCTCTTAACCACTGAGCCATCTCTCCACAGTGTTAGGTAAATGAGGCTGAATATTTAAGTTCACAGATGCACATTTTTAGGACCCAGGTTACAAAACAACTTTTATATTTCCTTTGCTTTTCTCTTCAAACCATTCTGATAAAAGCTAGATGGTCCAGCTACCTGCTCAACCCAGGATTATCCCAGAGGGGGTGGAGAGGGGACTGACCCCGAACTGATACTCTGCATACTCTGCAGTCAGTGAGGATAAACTAGGCAAGTCAGAACCAATTTTAATATTAGACAAACATTAAACACAACTGGCAAGAGAATCATATGCATGCCCATTAGTCCCATACAAACAGTTGCATCTGTATCATTTTCCACGCTCTCTTCCTCTGCTGCAAAGTGAGAACCCCTTGACTAAACCCCATCTGCTGCTTTAGTTTTAGAGCTTTGGTACAAAACCCATGTTGAGCCAGGACCATTCGGGTGTGTTACCTGGAGCAAAGTTTGTTGTCCCAAAGAACTTTATGGTCCCCACTCTCTGGCCTACCACAAGCACTCTTTCTCCAAGGCGGAGCTCTCCTTCATGGCAGGTATTATTTGCTGTAGATGGCACTGAAGAATTCAAACCTGTTGAAGTGGTGGGTTGGAGATTCGGGCAGGAAGAGAAAGAGGAAAGAAAACAAAGGTAGGAAAAACTCAAAAAGCAAAGTAGTTAAAAAAAAAAAAAACAAAACACTAGTCTGGCTGGTTGGGAATTTCATTACGTATATTCATCCCAGCTGTGGTACTCACTCAGGAGGGCAAGGCACTCAAAGCAAGTAAGGTTCCCTGAGGGAACCACTGCTGTGGGAAATGCATAAACCTTATTCCACTAACACAGCCTGGTACATTCTCTGCTCCAACAGAACCTTGGATGTAAAGAACCAGAGCTGTGCAAGCTTCTGCCTCCTGTCACGATGACTCCCCTTCCATGCTGTGGCATCAAAGTAGATACAGACAACACAGGAAGAACATGTGAAACCAAGTGTAAGGACAGACATGACCCGTGGAGTAAGCCCCAGTCACACAAAGCATAGCCTTGCTGTGTTTACCCAGACCCTGTGTAAGTGACAGACAGGAACAGTTTTGGTGAGACTGCTACAGGCTCCATCCCTAAATGGACAGTCCAAAATGTGCAGGGTCCCAAAGTCTGAATGTCCCAGATTCACATTCAGGGTCCAGAGCCACCTCTCAAAGCTTTGCATTGTGAAGTATTTAAGAATTCAGGGCTTCTGGTTAGAGATGGTCAAGCAGTAGATTGTGAAATATTCCTAAATCCCAGAGAGTACACATTCAAAACACTGATCCCAAACATTTTAGGTAAGGAATAGCCAACTTATGACTGGTCCTGATTACCCCAACTTGCTTTCCTTCTATTTAATGCAAAACTACTCCTAAAATGCCTGCTATTTGGTATCTGTGGAATACCGGACCCTGTCCTATTGGCAGACAGTGGAGACTGAACATTGACCATCTGAGAAGGCCTAAAGGGTCAACCATGGGAAGATGGAGCTGTGGGCCCACGGAGCCCCTGGGAAGGCCAGATCCAGTCACCAAACTCTACATTAAAGGTGAATGAGGAAGAAATCTTGATCTTAAGGGCTAACAAAGACCTGTGCACAGCTCACAGGTGCTACAGCCAGAATGACTCCCAGACCGAGGGTCAGGACACCTCAGGCCTGCCCACTACTCCTGCAGTTCAACAAAGGTAGCCAGTGAGCCAAGGTCAGAGTGAAGCCCTCCCCAGCTCTCCACTTTCTTAGCCCTTTCCTTCTCATTCCAGTTACTGTCCCTCCAGGCTAGTCTGACATGCAAAGTTCTCACTCTAGAAAAGTTTATGCAAACGTCTCTGGGGCTTCAAACATGGACACCCACACTCCACCCCCACAGCCACACACACCTCCCATTCTTTGCCCCTCCCTGTGAAAGGTGATTTTTTTTCCATTCTGATCATTACTGTCATCCTTACTATTATTTAGGTCACCATAAACCTCAAATGCATAAGAAGGGAAAGTGTACAGGTACACTGTTTGTTCCAGGGGTGGGGCGGGGAGCGGGTAATTCTACACTCATATATAAATTCTAAAATCAAGTAAATGTCAAAAGTCCAAATCCCAAACAGGGGTGTATTTAAAACACAAGGTAAGAGCATGATGTCCCCAGGACTCAGAAGAGAAAGTGGCCAGAGCAGGGGGGGGGAGCAACTGCATCACTGCATTGGAAACGATTCCAAGCCCAATTCCAGGCTCCAAACTTTCCAGATTCTGGATTCTAGGTTTGCATTAGGGCCACTGCTGAGGGTTTGGGAACTCCCCTACTACCATAGATGGTTTGGGATTTGCCTCACTGTGCTAGGCAAGCACCTAAAAACTGAACCAAACCTCCAGCTTCCCCCAAATGTATTTTTAAACAGAAGAAAGAAAGGAAGGAAGAAGGAAGGAAGGAAGGAAGGAAGGAAGGAAGGAAGGAAGGAAGGAAGACAAAAACAAAAACCACCAGCATGAACATTTTCCATAATAAAATACTGGTTCTGTGTAGGTATTGCAGGTATTAAGTGGTGGCCATTGTGAGACCCATTTAGAACAGCCTACACACAAAAAAAAATTTTTTTAAAGGCTCTACTCTCCTAAGGGGCAGGTAAACAGAGTTTGACACCATCTAAGTGCTCTCCAGCTGGAAGTCTGGCAGAGTGCTTTGCTGGTCCTCACACACCCTGAGAAGCAGTAGTCATGGGGTCAGGGGACTATGTGGGCCCCACATCACTGCCGTCCAGGAGGGACCCCTGAGCCTCTCCTGAACAGATTAAAAATTACCTCAGCAAAAGCAAAGACACTTTTCTAAAGAGGCAAATGATAGGAAGGCATGTGAGAGAGCTGAATTAAATGACAGTAAATGCAGCTTCTCAAATCCAACTGCACAGCCAGGAGTCCTGACTTGGGGGGGGGGGTGGACCGGGCACAGCAAGAAACTCAGTGTGACTGAAGCCAAGGGGTAAAGCGATCCAAATGGTGTTGCCCCAAAAAGCACAGCTCAGTCACCTGGGGTGAAGTGGAAGAGGGGATGGGAGCAGGGAAGGAGAAGGGTGGGGGGGGGGGTAAGAGGGGAAGGGAGAGGGAGGGGGAGGGGGAAAGGTGAAGGGGAAAGGGCTCCTACACATTAAAAACAGCAAATCCACTTACAAACAAACCAAGATAAAAAACACCAAGAAAGCCTGGTTGAAAAAGCCATAGATACCAGCACTGGCTCTGGATGGGAGAGAGGGGCTTTTGGCCAGGGTCTTCTTGCCCTTGCTGCTTGTAGCCAGTTTCTTTGGGTGGCTCTGCTTGTGATCCAGCGAGGATGTGGAGGAGGAGCTGCTGATGGACCCAGGCTGGGTAACTGAGAGGGAACAGGAAAGACTTTAAAGGGTATTTTAAAAAGCAAAATCAAATAAAGGAAAGAAAAGGACTAATAAGATGTTTTCTGTGCAAATTCTCCTGAAATGCTTCATTTCGTTTCCTCAATTGTGGATTATCTAGTGTCGAATTAAATACCTGATTTCATCCAAAGCACGGCTGTTTCACACAAATTGGATCATTTTACACAAGCAAAAAACTTTAAGGAGTCACAGGAAACTATCTTATGTGGGGGGCGTCACCTTTAATTAATGTTAACTAATCTAACCCCAAAACACTCTCCACTCTCCTTTGGGGAAGCTGTAATAAAGTCCCTTCAGATACACATGTGCACACGCGTGCACACACACACTACCAACATGTCTTAAGGTGACATTTTTAACTTTGAAACATCTGTATTCAACTTGAAGGTGAGCAAGACTGCAGAGGTTCTTCCCCCACACCTCCTGCCCCTGCATCACCTGATAAACTGGTATTCTTTGTGCTTGGTAAGAAACTGATTACAGAGTATTTCTAAAGGGATTTTTTTCCCCTGAGGGTAGTTTTACTATGGTGGTTTTTCCTTCCCAGCTGTAACACTCATATAAGCTGTTCTGCACTGTGTTATCTCAAAGTCCCACCAGGAGATGTAGCTTTAGAACAGGAAGTGATGGGTTACATTACCATCATTTCCTGCTACAGTTTTCAGCTCTTCACTGGGAGGCAATGAGAGTGTGGAGTCAGAAGCATTCTCTTTTTTTGATGGCATCAACCCTGGTGAACAGACACAAAAATGGTTTTAGCAAAAGACAATTTTGTTTAACAGTAAACAAGAAAATGCATTTTCTTTAAAGAACATGCACTTCTCAATATCTCAGTCTTTTCCACTTCTTTGTAGTGTGTTTTGTTTTTAGACAGCTCTGGCTGTCCTGGAACTCACTTTGTAGACCAGGCTGGCCTCAAACTCACAAAGATCAGCCCAAGTGCTAGGATCCATTTTTAAAACTTCTAAAGCCACACTGAATGCGCTTTCACGGATAGATGGACCCAGCACCTCGAGGTTTCAGGTCCTGAGAAGGAGCTGACACACTGCTCAGTGCACAGCACCTGCCCAGCACACACAGCCTCTAGGATGCAGAACTAAGAGAAAGGAGGACAGATTTGCAGTGCATGTAAGAACTTTGCCCAGCTTTGCCCAGCTGAAGACCTCTAAAATGTCTGAAGCATCATATCTGATACTTAATAGGCTTGCTCAAAACTTCACTTCATGCCAGAGGATGTGGCAAACTGTCACTGCTGAAATACAGATGAGTAGGACTTGGAAACAACTTATAGGGCATAGTTTCCTACCCTATCCAGTTCCCACAACAACTCCATCTTGGGGGGGGGGGAGGACTCTTGAATAATGAATAATGGCTATTGAATAAGGACTTTCACATCAACTGTATCAATGTATTTAGAGAGAGCAAGTAGATCTTCTCACTTACATTCCCAGTCAACTCAAAAAGTATTTTGAGTAAAGAACCCTACATAGGACCCTGCTGCAAATCGAAACAAGACATAGACCTGTCCTTGAAGAGGACATTTCCATTTAGTATGGCTAACGACCTCAGAGCTAGTGACTGTGTGAGGATGCTTCATGCAAAGAACTAGTGAAGCAGGAGGTGGAAACTCAGCAAAGAGAAAGAGGGTCTCATCAGGATCTCACTCTGAGTTGGGGCTTAAGTGGGTGGGATTTCTTTCACCAAACCAGAGGTCTCGTAGGAAGAAGTGAGAGTGAGGATTCTGGAAAGTCAGAGAGAAAATCTTGCAGAATGACACAGCATGTGGGTATCTTAGCTGATAAGGAGTTTTCTGGGGACTCAGGTGAGGTAAGCTGAACAAGTAGATACTGAAAACCTCAGAGGGGGCAATGCCTGGCTCAGTGCCGCTCGACTGGACAGCACTTGCCTGTCACTGCAAGGTCCTGAATTCAATCCCTAGTTCTGCAAACAAAGAAGGAGGATGGGGAAAGGGTTGGAGGGAAGGGAGAAGTGGAGGTGGAGAGAGGGGACTGGAGATGGCAGTCAAGGATGAGTTTGTCCTGGACTGGCCTGGACAGACATCTAGGTATGTGACATTTCTTTAGCAGCCACAGGTAGAACGAAGAGCAGGAAAGGCTAGAAGCAGAGGCCATTGGAAGTTACTCCAGAGGCCCAAGGAGGAAACGAGACACCACGGCAGCTGCCGAGTGAGAAAACATCCTGCAGAGTGCAGTTCCCAATTATTTTATTTTTCAGTCTAAAGTTCCATTTGCCCCTTTTGTTTGAATTGTTATCAAGATGACATGACTTTTAAAAATGATATAAAGATCTCTTTGTGTATCTGTCTAGCTTCCCCAAAACAGCATTTCACAAAACTACAAGACAGTACCCCAACCAGGACATATGCATTGCTCTCAGCTGCTGATGTTACTTCAATCACCCCAAGCTCCCTTGACAACAGAGAGAGAGAGAGAGAGAGAGAGAGAGAGAGAGAGAGAGAGAGAGAGAGAGAGAGAGAGAGAGCGCACGCGCGCACATTCATTTCATTCTTTCTATATCTGCTGAAGCTCATTGCAAGAGAGTTCATCTTAATTTTCATTCTGAGAACATGAATCTGACATACTCTTTAAGCATTTTGGTTTGAGTTTTTTGAGGGGAAAGTCTCATTATATAGCCCCAGGTATGAAGTATCAAGAATACCTACAAGGAAAAAAACTTTACAATTATATTAAGATACCTTAAATTATCCAACTAAACAAAAAAATATTCCAAGCACATAATTAAAGATGGCTATAATAATGTCAGCTCTTTTTAAATTGGTAAAAGGATTAAATGTGATATCATCTTAAACTTCAGTAATCTGTTTTTAAAAGAAACTTAAGACCATATTCTAAAATATGTAAGGAAGTGTAACGTACAGGGGCCCCAAAGAAGGGAGATAATCTTTACAAATAAGATAGGAGGTTTTCCTCCCTATTGGATATCAGGATTCTTTTTTAACATCACAGTAATTATGAAGTCAATCATGGGCACATGAGTGGACAAACAAAACAGCAGAGGAAGACTAATGTCTGGGTGACATCCTTTTAGAAAGTGGAAAGCCTTTCTGCTCCAGCTACCAATGGGTTAACAGACATTTAGTGAATGCCTATATTGTGTTATGAGCTTCTGTGAATACAAAATCACAACCTCTTCTGTAGTCTACTTAAATTTAGAATTTGACTTAGCACAAAAGATTTACACACATAAAGCAAGCAGTGGACAAGACAACTGGGCTATACAGATTAAAAGAACACACACACAAAGTTGGGGAACTAAGAGGTTAAATGAGTTGGATTCCTGGGGGAGGAGCAGGGTTTGTGTGGAGTGAGGAACAGCAAGGACATCCATGGGCCACCCACAGGTAAGGAGGACAGTGAACACTTGCATGCAGCAGGACAAAGGGACTTCACAGAAGAGGCGAGGAGAAGGAACTCATGAGTGTTTTGTGAATACTCACTGGCAGCATAAAATTCAGCACTGAGCTAATCATGGGGCATTGGAAGCACACAGAAAGGGGGAGAAAGGGAAGGGGAGGGGAGGGGAGGGAAGGGAAGAGAAGGGGAGGGGAGGGGAGGGAAGGGGAGGGAAGGGAGGGGAGGGAAGGGGAGAGGAGGGAAGGGAGGGGAGGGAAGGGGAGGGGAGGGAAAGAAGAGACAGAGGGGGAAGGAAGGGAAAAGGGAAGGGAAATGGGAAAGGAAGGAGAAGAGGGAAAAGAGAAGAGGGAAGAGGAAAGAGGAGGGGAAGGGAGGGGAGGGGAGGGGAGGGGAGGGGACAAAGCTGGACTGCCATTGCTGGAACTTAAGTTATTATTCACAGCAGGCCCATAACACAAAGGCCTTGGTTTTGTGAGGTTCGGCTTCTGTGGTGGACTAACAAAAAGAGTAAAACAGTCTACACACCAATACACACACAAATACAATTTGAAATATGATTTAGGTGGTCATGATCTGTCTTCCCAGCTTGACCTACCAGAATTCACTTTGGATGTGATATGAGCTACATCAACCTTCTGGGACCGGACATGGGGCGCCGCTCTTGAGGAAGGAGTATGTGTGGTATTTTTCCTCCCATCTTTTACTTTACTTATCTTTGAAAGGGGTGCAAAAATACCTGAGAGCAAAAACAGAACTGTTGTTAGTGTGGAGAGACTAAAAGCATTTCAAATACAGGGCAAATGTTAACTGTTGCTAATACAGGCTCTGTTTAGTACCTACACACATCTTGTAATGAGACAAGGCACTTGCCTTCAGAGAGTGTACAATCTAGTTGCCAAGCTTAAATACGCAATAATTTAGGAACCATTTAAGAGATACATAATCTTGTGTGGAGTAAAGCTCAGAGGAAAAATAAATGTTAAGTTACCATCTTCTCTAAGAGATTAAGTTATCACACAGTGTAAGCCATGCCATGTCTTGTCTGCTCAGGGTTTCCCCCTCCCACAGAACAGCTCTTCATACCCCTGCCTCATCTTCCCTTCCCCTTGTCTGCATCCTCCCACGGAAACTAATTACAGTCCCTTACACACAGTACAGACACAATAAATCTGTTTAACTGTATAAAATAATCTTCCCCAAAGGCCTAACCCTCAATCCCTGCCCATCAGAAACAATACAGTGTGTGTTGAGGAAGGGAGGTAAACAGAGGCAGGGGACTGCCTACCTATAGCAGCTGGGAGGATAAAATCCCACTGAGAAAGAGTTTATGGAGGCAATAAAATACCCAGTTTGAGTAAGTACACACAGACGTTGAACAGACTATAAATGCCAAGATTATCTCCCTAACACACTTAAAAAGAAAACAAAGTCATAATGTGTACATTACACTCTTGAGTGTTTACCTCCTAACAAACATGCACCATACAGAATGTGATCTGGTAAAGCAGGATAGCAACCCTCGCACCCTTATAGAATGTGGCCACTCTGCTCATAGTTGACAAATGCCAGCTGCACTACTTTCCTAAAAACCTTTGAAATTCTTCTCTACCTTGTACTCTGCATGACCTTCTCTTGATTTTCATATTTGTTAAAACCTATTTGTAATTACCTTTCATGTCATTAATCTGAGGTTATCCTTTCTATTTTAAATTCTCTCAACTGTCAATTGTACAGATGGGGGGAAAGGGAGAGAGGGAGAGGTAGAGAGAGGGAGAGGGAGAGGGAGAGAATAAAGCTTGACTATAATTATGTTGATGACAATGATAATCACAATTAAATCTGGCAAGGTTTAAAGAAAGAAATATTCTATTCTCAATTTATGAATTTCTACACTTTCTGGAACTTGGGAATTCCTACCTAATCCTCCTTATGGAATTAATTATAAGGAAATAAACTTAGAGGTATGCACACAGGCTATGAGATTATGTGTGAAAGAAAAGGATGGATTGCAAAGGCACAGTATTTCTAGCTTATCAAAATGTACCGATGTCTAACACACTACCATGTTCCAGGGACACTTATGAGAGAAAATAAAATCTAGGGAAAAAAGTAACTGTCTGGCAACAATACAAATGAAACTGATCCCCCCACTCTCAGCCCAGATATGTTCCCTGGGAGTTCTACATAGACTCTGTTTTCCTATCCAGATCCATGGCAAAATGTAATCAAGAAATCCAGTACAGTAGGGAATCAGCAACAGCCAATGATAGCATAGAACAACTAACAAGGTACTACCAGCAATGACTTGAAAGGGTGTGGTCATTCCTGCCCACCCTCAGGGTATCTTATGGTCCTGTGTGTGGTTGACCATGGGGAGTTGAAATCACACATAGTAAAGATGCCTACTGTGTTAGATCACCACCACTAAGACACCACCACCAATGAAGAGAGTCATTCATGAAACACAATAAAGAAAACCAGGCCAGTAAGGTTCATAAGAGGCCACCAAGCCTGACAGCCTGAGTTCAATCCCACAAGCTGTCCCCTGACTTCCACACACCATGGCACACTGAAACACACACACATAACACACACACACACACACACACACACACACACACACACACACACACGGGGAGAGAAAGAGAGAGAAATATACACACAAATACATAAATGTAAAAACAGAAAAATATTATTACATTATAAAATTATATTACATCTGTGGTAAATTTATGTGGGTATAGTCAATCAAACCAAAAAACTGAAAATGAAAACATATATATGAAAACAGAATACAAACTATTTTTAATGTATTTGATTAGTGTCAGTAATATCATGCATAATGCTCAATGAGTGATCTGCTTTCTTCTGTTTTTATTTTGAGAGAAGGTAACCGACAATGGCTCAACCTGGCTGTGTATGACGGGGAAGGAGGACACGTAGGACTAGGACACAAGGAGGATTCTGGGGTCAGAGAACAGAGCTTGCCACTGGCAAACCATAGAAGTCTGGAGGTCTGGACAGACAGGCAGGAAGTAACATAGCTGAGCAGAAAGAATATAAGAAGAAATAAACAGGAAGTCGCTCTCTTCTCTGCAAGCAAAGATGCTACAGATCCCCACACCTTTCTCTGGTAAGAGCAGACCACGTGGGAATACTTAGATTAATAGAAAATGTGTCAATAATTAAGACCGAGCTAGCCAATAAGAAACCACAGCCAACATCTAACAGTTTCATAATTATTATAGCATCTGCGTGTTTCTTTGGGGAAGAGACTGGCAGTCCCACCAGAAAGGGTCCTAGCCAGGCCAAGAAAACCTCACGTTACATATGTATCCATGGACAAACTTAAATTTCTGATCCTCCTGCCTTCACTTCCCAAATGATGGGAGTACAGGAGTGGACCACCTTGTATATTTTGTGTGCTGCTTCAACAAAATCGAGCACACTCAGCAAGCACTGCACTAACTGAGGCTGCAACCCCAGCCCCGATTCCTCCTTTTCTTAATTTAAGGGAAAAAGTGGTTTTTATCTTTGGTAATCTCCAAAGGAAATTTCCACATAGAAATATATATTTGTTTCAAAGGCTAATCAAATGTTTACTTCTAATGGCTTAAAAGAATTATATTGCACACAATTCCTCATCTCATTTGTCTTCATGTATTATTATTATTATTTTCAAGTCACTTGGGCAAACCACAACTACATTTGATGTGGCTGGATGCACAGTGGGCAGTAAACTCAGGGGGCAGTCTTCTTGCTGCCTGGTAACCCAGTAAACTCACCAGCCTTCCCCAGAGGCAGATACACAGCTCTAAGGTTGACCAAAAAGAAGCACACACTCATTCTCTATTAAAAGAGCAATGACTTCTTAGATAAATATGGCTCATTTAATGTGTTAAAGCCTATTTAAAACATTAGCAATGAATAAAACAGTATAAACTCTAAGAGAAATTTATTTTTTAAAGGAGAAAATAGAAGATTTTGAGAAGAGGAAAGCAGTCCTTGAAACTCCTATGCACCAATCTGAGAAGCTCAAGTAAGCAGCTGGCAAATGACAGTGAGTGTGAAAGGCAAAATGGCCACCACTAGGCTATGTAGTTGTCCTGGCACAGTGCCTCTTCAATCTGTTTACACTGTCTGTGGCTGCTCATTCACTGCAACAGCCCAGCTGAGCAGCCACAACAGAGGCCCCGTGGCCCCATGAAAGAGCCACTATCTGGTCTCCACAGTGTAAGTTTGCTAATTTCTACTACATTAGATGGCACTGTCTTCAAAATACTAAGGGGACACATGCTAGAATCTCCCATTCCTTAGCCCAAAACTACCACATGAAATGGGGAGAAATCAGCATGCTGTCAGAATGGAGGGTGATGGGGGATGTCCTCCTGTATATATGTTTTTCTTATTGGTTAATGAATAAAACAGTTTGGCCAATAGCCAGGCAGAAAGCATAGGCAGGGTTACCAGAGCAGGAGAAGGCTGGGGAGAGGAAGGCGGAGAGGGAGGGTGAAGGGATGCCATGTAGAGATGGGGAAGATCCATGCTCCAGGAATTCTCTGGTAAGACAAGGCCATGTATAAATATATAGATTAGTAGTTATGGTTTAATAATTAAGAGAGAGCTAGCAAGTAAGAAGCCCTAGCCATTGGCCAACAGTCTTATAATTAATATAGTGTCCATGTGTTTATTTGGAGCTGAAGTGGCTGTGGGATCAGGTGGGAAATTCCAGCAACAAAATGGCACCACCAACATGGGTTGCAAGAATTTCCATATAAAACCTGATAAAAGCTTTAAAAAGGGATTCTAAAAACAAAAGAACAAAGTCATGTATAGCTTCTTGGTAGCAGCATTTTCTCAGGTGGACTCTAGAGACAAGCAGAGGCTTGTGGATCTTTTAAGGGAGCTTCCTGACTCAGGATTAGTGACAAAAAGTAAATGGTTCTTTTAAGAGGCTCAGCTGGCAGCATGCTTCTTCACAGCAGCATGAACCTAGAAATTCCATGGAGTTGTGGCAATAAGCATGAAGCTAGAAATGAAGCTAGATTCTCAGAAAGCCAAGGAATAGAATGGGGCCAGGTGCCACTTTAATTTTAGCAATGCTGTTTAGCAGATAAGACTCATGACCAGAAAAAGATATACAGTTAAAACAGATTCAGAGGGAAAAAGAAAACCCTCTAAACAGTTTACAGTGTGTTTAAAAATATATGTAGGCTTGGGAGACAAAAGATAAAGTGGTTAAAAAAGAAATAGAGTAGTTGAGCAGTGATGGTGCTTGCCTTTAATCTCAGCACTTGGGAGGCAGAGGCAGGCGGATCTCTGTGAGTTCAAGGCCAGCCTGGTCTACAGAGTAAATTCCAGGACAAGCAAAAGTATTCAGAACAACCCTGTTTCAAAAAATAAAAACTAAAGGTAAAAGATGTAGAATAAAAACAAAAGCCATGTAAAGATGAAAAGTACACATAGAGTGGATACTATATGTTATTGTGTTGTCTTTAAACTGTTTGGTTGCTGAGGAAAGAGCAACAGATGCTAACAGACATTTGATTATAAATGCTGCTGGGTTAATCCAATCTATATATTTTGAAAATGCTCTGACTTCAAAATTTAAGTCTAAGAACATGTTACTTTGGAAAAAAGATTTCATTTTTGTTTCCACAGAAGATGAAAAGCTATGGATTGCTTCCAGACTAATATGGTTTGAACAAGCAAGACCCCCTGAAGGAGTGGCCCAGGTGATCCAACATCCAAAACAGCTGAGACAATGCAGCATCACAGACCACTACAGCCAGGATTTGGCCAGGTTTCTGGGTTTTCTCAGCATCCGCATGGTACTGATAGCACCCCGAAACATCAGGAAGCAGTATGGAGAGAATGGCCCACATTTCCAAATATTGTTAATAAATTGGGTTTTTTTAATTAAATGGGGTTTGTTCTAAATGGTTAATGATCATAGCCAATCTCTTTTTAAAGGAAAAAAAGGGGGAAATTATATAAAAACGAATACTTTGTATTGGTATGAATTTTGATTTATTGATACAAGTTTAAGGTCAATTTTGTTATAGGTGCATTTTTCCTCTTGTTTAGGTATTATATTTATACAGTTCATTTAAACATGTAATGTGTAACTAAATATAGATTTCAGCTAATCACCTATGATAGTCATAATTTAAAAATCATGCTAGATAGGTTTTTTTAGATATACAGAAATATATTTCAAATGGATATTCTCCAAACATTTCAAAGACCTACAGAATATGGCTTTTAAATAGTTTATTAGGGTTTTTCATGACAGTGAGACACAACTGCTCCTGGCAACACCAATTACATCCAAGAGGAAGATGAGCATCAAAGAAACTCAATGTGGAGTTTGCCTTCAACACAGCAGACATAGCCATTTGGGCAAGAAACTGCTCTTGTGTGGACTGCTTTGCCTGCATGCTGTATAAACTGGACACGCAGGACCCACAGGTAAGTGACTGCTGACCTTGCAAAAACAAGATGGAACACCTGGATCAAGTCCCTGGGATAGGAACCACAGACCCCAGCATGTTCGTCTGGACTCTCCTCCCCATCACATCCTCCTTTTCCTCCCTGGCCACCTTGGATTCTAACATCCATCCCTCTCGTCAGCCTGCTTCATCTGTTCTCAGATCTCTTATAAACTTCTTCTGGAAGAAAATTCTAGAAGAAACAACCTGGGTAAACCAGATTCTGTACTTATCAGTAGCTATTCCCAAACAGTTTGCCAAGCCTTGATGAGAAGAGGCCTTAGCCTTGCAGCCTGCCTACTACTCTACATTTATGTCCACAAGTCTACAGTTGGTCCCTGGCATCACATGGTTGCCTCCTGCACTGCCCTGACCTGGTCACAGTTCCTCTCTCCTCTCTGTCCATCTCCATCCTCCTCTCTCCCACCTCCATCCACCCTGAAGCCGTGCTCCTTACATCAGCAAATGACCTCACTTCTGAGAAAACAGAAACATCTTCCCAGCATCTCGCTCCTTAGGGAAGGTGAGCCATGCCTGGACTAATGCCAGGCTAACCCTGGCACAACCCTTTCAACTTCTCAAGGACCTTCCTCCTCCAATCGCCTGTCCCCTCGTCTCCAGCAGCACCTTCCCCTCCTTTAAATCATTCTCATCAGCAGGAACATGATATGCCAGCTCCTGCATTTCAAATATCCTCAGTCCACGCCCTCTTATATATTACACGGGTAACCAGGAAAGGGCTTAATTTAAAACTACAAGGAAAGTGAAGAACTGACTGGTGGTAGAGCATGGTCAGTGTCTGTCAGGCCCTGGGTGCAATCTTACCATATTTGGGAGCACACTTGAAGTACTGGACTCTCCCAACACTCCCACTGTTTTTTCCTTCTGGCTCATCCAGCTCAATGCCAGCCCACTGCCCACTTGCAAACTCAGTAGTTCCACAAAATCTTAATGTCCCAACCTGAAGAAAAGATAAATCAAAATAGGTTTTCAGTCTTATTAGTGATTCTAAACACCCTGTTCTTAGCAATATTACTTTTAATGTTTTTCAAAGTAGACTTCTAAAAAAGGAACTTTGCCAAAGATTTCTTTTTAATGGCAAAGGAGTTTACCAGGAAGACATGGGATCCTCCCAAGGTGATGATGCTCTTTCCCAAAAGAACTAGAAAGGAAAATCCATGTTGCAGTGGGATTCAGCTCACCTCTCTCAATTACCAACAGGTTGAGCAGGCCAGAAATATATGAAGCCACCTATAAAGGAACTCCCCTAAACAGATACCTATAGGAGCACTCCACCCAAAACAGAAGCATGCAAATGTAAAAGAGCAGGGCTGGAGAGAGGGCTCAGCAGTTAATAGCACTGACTACTCTTCCAGAGGACTGGGCCTCAGCTCCCAGCACCCACATGGCTTTTATCCTTCTCTTTTAAAAATTGGTTTCACAACTCACAACTGTTACTTAGGTTCCAGAGAATCTGCTGTCCTCTTCTGGCCTCCGTGGGTACCAGGCACACAAATGATGCACATACATTCATGCAGGCAAAGCACCCAAACACATGAAATGAAATAATAAATGTGAATTTTTTGTTTGTTAGTTTTGTTTGTTTTTTGTTTAGAGACAGAGTTTCTCTGTGTAGCTCTGGCTGTCCTGAAACTCATTTTGTACACCAGGGTATCCTTGAATTCACAGAGATCCGCCTGCCTCTGCCTCTGGAGTGCTGAGATTAAAAGTATGCACCACCTCTTAGACAGGAACATGCACCTTAAAAACAGTCTAAAATCAATCTCTAATTCCCACTCCGCAAACTAATACTAAGATCCAAAGCCAAAGAAAGGGAGTGAGGAATAAACATTCAAATAAACTGAGAACATGAAAATAATACAGAAAAAAAAAATCAATGAAACCAATAACACCTTCTTTGAAGAATAAAAATCATTAAGCTACCAAACAGAAACCAATTTTTTTAAAAAGAGAAAAGATACAATACCAACATCACCAACAAAAGAGGAGCATTGTTATCAATATTTAAAAAGATAAGCTGATACTACAGCTTTGCCAACCCATTTCAAACTCGCTGTAAAACATTGCAATTCCTTGAAAGACACAAACAATCAAAAAAAATCTAACACTTGATTAGTGGTTTAAAACTAAAAAACAAGAAAAACCTCTCAGGAACAGATGGCCTCAATGATAAATATTACCAAACATGTATGGACAAAATAGAAATTCTGCACAAGCTCTTCCAGAATTTAAGCAAAGAGGCTGGTTCCCAAGGCATTTTAGGAAACCAGCATTACCTTGACATTAAAAATGGCCAAAGACACAAGCAACTACAGACCAACATCCCTCTAGAACACAAACATAGGCATCTTCAACAAATTTAGAACCAATCAAACATAGTGATAAGGAGAATACTACATAGTGACTAAGGGAAGTCTCCAATGGCATGCAAAGCTGGTCATTGAGGGAATTACCACATAATCAACTCATCCACACACTAAAGGAAAAGAAGATAGAGAAGACTCCTATAACCAACTGCAACATCCTTCCATGATGACAGCTTAAAGACACATCTTAGCAACTGAGGACCTCTTCAACTTGACAAATGATCTATACTAAAACCACAGCTAGCAAAGCAATGAGACCTCACTCAGAGAAAGAAGGGATAAGAAGGGGATAAGGAGGAGGAGACAAGATGATTGTGTACAGAGAATCCACAATGTAAACAAGTTAGGACATGTGGTCAATATTTAAAAAAATCAACTATTTCCACATACTAGAAATGGACAACCAGAAAATTTCATTAATAGCACAGAAAAAATAAACTTGAAAAGTATTCAGTCTAAACCTAGCAAATCATATGCAACCCCTAAATGGTTAAAAAACACAAAAGTTGGTTAAATAACCCAAAGCCCAAATGAATAGAAGAAGATCCTGGGTACTGTGCTTAAGATGTAAAATCTACTCAACCAGATCTAGACTCAACAATACTCAATTCAAAATTCTAGAAGAATCTTTTATAGAAATAGCAAAAAAATTCTAAAATGTACATGGAAAAAGGAAAGGAAATAGAATTATCAAACAGTCTGGCAAGGAAACTGAAGTCTGAATGTGCCAATGCGATGATGATGACAGCATTGAAAACAGGGGGATCATCAGAATAGGGCAGGACCAACCACAGAAATAACCCCCAACACACATGGTCAAGGGATGTTTGAAGAGCTCGGGGCATGGTATTGTAGCAAATAAGCAACCATGTGGTTAAAAATAGAAGAAATCCAAGCTACAGTTGGTACTCTCAAAAATTAACTCAAGGGGGTTGGGGATATCATAAGGGCTTGAGTTCAATCCCCACCACCCACACTGGAAAGCCAAGCATTATGGTACATGCCTATAATCTCAGCTCTAGGAAGGTATAGACAGAGGGATCGCTGGGGATCGCTGGGGATCGCTGGCCAACCAGTCCAGCCCAATCAGGGAGACCAGACTGGATCTCAAGAAGCAGAGATAAACTGAGGAAGACACCTGAAGTCATCCTCTGGATTTCCACATTTATACACCCCCCCCCACACACACACACGCCAATCTCAGCTTTTCGAAAGCTGGAAGATCTAGAGTTCAAAATCATTCTCAGTTACATAAATAGACACTTCTACTTGGATGTAAAACCATGCAACCCAAAAAGTAAATTAACTTTAATAAAATTACATCATTTTCCATTTCCTTTCCAAAACCTCCCATATACTTCCTCCTTGCCCTCTTTCAAGTTCATGTCTTCTTCTTTCATTAATTGTTGTTGTTATACATGTGTATATGTCTACACATATACATAACCTGCTCTGTCTGTTCAATGTTACTTGTATATAAGTCAGCATAACCCCTAATAACAATCTGAACATTTATCCTTATACCCACATGTAAGTGTAGTCCTCACCCCTCATCAAGGAAACTCCTCTTTGCAACAGACAGTAATCTTTTCAAGCCCTTCTCAGACACAGTTAGAGGAATGCTAGAGACTTGATGTTCAGCCATTGTTTTTTAAAAGCTATATATTCGATATATACTTATACATTCAATTTCCTGACATTTTAATTTCAGCCTGTGAAAAGGTAACCAATGTCCTATTGTTCTGTGAATGGGTGAATGTCATTCTTCGCATCTATGGCTATTTCTTTTGAAAACTAGTTCCCCCCACCAGGCCAAGCATCAGTTTCACCGTTCTCAGAAGCCCTTGTCATCTATCCAAATACTAAGATGTAAGAAGTTGGAAGGTTAATGTCCAGGTACACATTCCCTGTCCCACTCCACACTTGGAGCATCCTATTACCTCAAAACTAAGAATAAAGACTGCTAGTGAGTGACTGTGGTTCAGTGATACAGCTCTTCCCAAGCTACTCAGGGCCCTGTGCTCAAGCACGAGAGAGAGAGAGACAGAGACAGAGATAGAGACAGACAGAGACAGGGACAGAGAGGGAGGGAGGGAGGGAGAGAGAGACAGAGACAGACAGACAGAGAGGGAGTGAGGGAGGGGAGAGAGTGAGCGCTCCCAGAAAAGGTATCAAAGAAGAAACCGCCACAGTCACAGTAAAGATCACACAGAAACTGCAGCTCTGTCTGTCTGTCAAGCCTTTATGTAAAGAGGCACTGGCTGACCTACTGTCTGTAGGTTTTGTAACATCTGAATGTCCGCCTATTTGTGAGACTTTAAAACCAAGCAGAACAATAATAAAGGTCTCCTTTGTGCAGCTGGCAGGAGAGGTGCCACTGGCAGGGAGGATCAGAGTAGACAGAGCAAGGTCATTTCTCAGCTCCAGCCTCCAAATTCATTCAACAGTTCTCCACTATGCCACTTTTCCCCATGCAAATAAAAAAACCTTCCCTATCAAGTTCAAACAGCTCATATTCTTAACCTGCTCTCTGTAAGTGTCAGTAAACTTACATTTAAATTTCACATTTTTGCTAGACAGTGGCAGCACACACCTTTAATCCCAACACTTGGGAGGCAGAGGCAGACAGATCTCAGTGAGTTTGAGGCCAACCTGGTCTATAAAGTGAGTCTCCAGGACAGCCAGGGGGTTACACAGAGAACCCCTGCCCCCCCAAAAAAAAACTAGGACATTTTCAATCATGTATGTTTCTGTCCACATGTGTTGAAGCTTTCCCCACAACTCAAAGTTATGACTGTGCGGCACACAACCCCTAGACACAGGCCATGAGTGAAGAGCACAAGAAAAGCTTCAGGAACTGCAGTGACTCCCTGTACCTTCTGTCCTGCGATGACAACACGGTCCCCCAACTTCAGGCCAAGAGATGTCAGCATGGCCTTGCTGGTAACATGATCACAGTTTGCAAGCACGGCCTTCGAGATGGTACAGGACAGCGGTGCTGCATCCAAGAGCATCTGCTTGATTTCCTTAGCAGTTGCTGCAGCATCAGCCATCTCCAGAGGCATGTCCACTGGGTCTGGAACAACATCCGCAGGGATCTGTCCTTTGTCATTCTACAACAAAGAAAATAGAAAAATTTTTAGCTCTTACATACTAAGAGCACTAGACGACCATCTATAATTTTTAATGGAGAGCTTTTAAGTCAGACACAGTCATCTATTTACTCAAAACTACTCAATGAACTCCTCCACTGTACCAGGAACCATTCTAGGTGCTAAAGATACCATAGTGAAGGAAGCAAACACTCTGCCCTCAAAGAGTACACACACTCATCTGTAGCAGACAGAGCATCAACAGATTATATGGTGTGCTAACTGGGTGCTGAGCAGTAGAAAGACACCAAGGCACAGAGAATATGGGCAGAGAGGTGGCTATAGAGGAGCTGGTGACATAAAGATTGTGAGGGAACCCTCAATGACAAGATGCATTTACCCAGAGATGCAAAGATGAGGAGAGGTAGGGGAAGGCATTCTGTACACTGAGATGGGCAAGTACCGGAGCAGAGAAATATGCCTGGCCACACACGAGCACGGTGAAGTAGCAGGTTGCCTAGCTACCCAATCTAAGACCCAGCTACATCCATGCACACTCCATTATGGACATTTAACCAACCAAGGGCCACATACATAGTGACCCCACCTCACAGCCACCTTGGTTTACATAAGTTCCCTCTATCAAGTTTGTACAGAGATAATGTACACAATGTTTCTCAGAACCTGTCCCTGTCATTAAGGGTCATATGACTACATTCCACCATCCCACAGTTGCCACACTGGCTCTGTGACCTCAGCCACCTACCTGGTCATGCAACAACTCAGACTTCAGAAATAGAGACAACAGTCTCTATACTATCAATTGCATCCTAAGCTGCAATCAACAAACTTGCCCAGCTCACCCTATGAAGGAGACTGTATCCTGGAGTAGTTTATGTGTGACAAGATAAAGCAAGCCAGCTATAAGACCAGTTCATTGCATGATGTTTATGTAATTTAAAACCTATCATTAAAAAAAAAATCAATCACTTGGTTCTCTCAGGGAAGAGCTTACAAACAGAATCTCCAGAGGCATTTTAATTCCAAACAATGAGGAGTTCACATTATTTTATAGCGGGAGGGAGAGGCAGTAACCAAGTTTAAAAAAAAAAAAAATCTGAGATGTCCAGTGGGCCAGTTAGAAAACGGGATGTGGGGAAATAAATAACATCCAAATTCAACTCTTCACTGGAGATACCACGATATTTCCTTCTCTTGCTTCAACCTCTTACCCTGAATGCGGGGTTCGCTCCATGCTCTAGTAAGGTTTTCACAGCTCCTGCACACAAGTTATACGCTGCAATATGCAAGGCTGTCCCAAAACTGAAGTCACTGCAAGTGGCGTCCACATCTACAATTAAACATCACAAATATATTAACTAAAACTTTAAATTCAGCTATCACAATTTCCAAGAAGATGGGAAGGGGATTCAGGGAGGGGATTTTAGCCTCTTAGGGATTTAGCCCCCTGCAGTGCAGTATTTCACAGTGGAACAAATCTCCATAATTATAACTTGCCTAATATAACCAAATGAATATCCTCCTACTTCGGTATAATTCCTTACAAAATGGAGAGGTAGATCACTAGTTTTCTAGCTATCCTAAATAACCTGCAATAGAGGCAGTGAATGGTAGTAATTCATACCTGTGAAATAATTAGCTTTCCATGCCCACTCACTATACTCACAGGCATTTCATTGTAATGCAACATACCTTGTAATACACAGTAATACAAAATCAACTTTAGGTAAGGGATCAGCAAATGAACCCTGTGGGCCAAATATACACTACCCCGTTTTGCAGACTTTTATAGGAATGCAGGCACACTTATGCACAGACATGTTCTCTGAGCCTGAACCCATGCTCCAACTGCAGAAATGAATGGCTGTGACAGACACCAGACAGTCTGAAATGCTAAAAATGGTTATTTACTAGTAAGCCTTTTGCAGACAGGGATGACTAAACTGTGCATAATCAATAACAAGTACTTGAGATAGGAATGCTTACATACTGATTCATGACACTACTTGACAGGCGAATTTGAACTCCACAATAAGAAAAGGAACTTTGCAATTCTGAGGGTGCTCTAATAACAGTAAATCACATTGCATTATACTTGAGCAGGAAATCATCTGGAATGGAGAATCCTATTTTGAATGTTTCCTACAAGGGTTTAATAGTCTCTGGTTCCGCAATTGCACATTAATCAGCAGGGAACCACGATGGCATGACTACACACCTGTGACAATACAGACCTGCTCACACAGACTCCTGCACTGCTGAACAGAGAACCATGGCAGAGACTCTCTTCCCAATGTCACAAGTGGGAAAGGCAGAATTTTAAAGAGACTGGCTGATTGTGCAGAGCAGAAGTCAGAAACTAACATCCTGAGAGGTCTATCTTTTGCATCTTTAAAACGTCTTTTGTAACAGGATGGCACTGGGCACTCTAAGACAGAAGACTCCGCTCTCTTGCTCTTAACTCTTCTCAAAAGTGGAGGACCAGGAAGAATATTAACTTTAGGGTGTCACCATCAAGATGTGGGGGACCCCTAAAAATTATCAAAGAATTTCTGAACATAATGACATCTAAAAGGAGCACCCCACCTCCCCATTATCTATGCTAGCCCAAACACTCTGTTGCTCTACCCTTGACCTCCCAAGCAAGATGAAAGAATTATAAAATACACCACACAGGTTACACATGAAATCCACACTACACTGGTAATCTGTAGATACAGTAAGACCCACAAAATACCTTTTTTTTTCTTTAAATTTGTAGCTCTCTGTATGGCTTTTGTGAAAGGACAATAACATCCAACAATGAAATTCTAAACTACTTAAGAAGTAAATCAAGGTGGGAAGGCATACAAAAATAAAAAACATTAAAGTCCTCCTCACCAGTGACGTGGATGCCATTACAGAACACCCATTGGAAGAGACATATGCCAGCACTTGCCTTTTGGTTTTGATGTCTTCAAAATCACTCTTATAAGCTCTGGGACATCAAAGTATGCAGCGTAATGCAAGGCATTCATGTTTGTCCAGCGACTCCGTAAACTCGAGTCTGCTCCCAGTTCAATAAGTTGAGCTGCAAATTTTGCAGCTGTCTCAACATCACCTGAAGAAAAAGAATGTAAATTATTTTTCTTCAGGACATATTTTGAGTTCATACCTGTCTAATATCTTGCTTTAAAAGCCAAGGCAAACAGCACACAGGACCTACATTTATACTTCAAAAATTATACCTTTCAGGAGTTAACCCAAGCAAACACTCCCATTCAGGAGTGAGAACAAACAGAATGAAGACATTTGCCATGTCATTACTGATTAGGAGTAAAATTCTGATAGCCTAAGAACATGGTAAGAAATCACTGAAATAAACTAAGACCTCCGTGCTATGGAATACAATGAAGGCACTAAAAGAAAAATGTCAGACCAGTGCAGAAATATTTGGGCTACTATTTTGTCTTGATTTCACTTTTAGACTGTAAGTTTGTTTTGATTTTATGGAAGTATTGATACATTGTGGATTATAAAAAGAAAAGGCAGTTAGGCACAAAGCCTACTATAGCAAATGTTGAGCTGTAAATCACAGGTATCAAGACTTCCCAAGGGAAAGGAACAAAGTTTTGAGTGAACCAAACTGAATCCTCACCTACTCAACAGATAGGCAGCTGAAATGCCCCACCCAGGTCACTGGCCGGCAAGACATTACACAGGCACAGATGTAGGGTGAGGAGAGGCAAGGCACATACTCACCGATGCCATGAGCCCCAGACTTGCAAGTATAATGTAACAGAGTCATGTCTGTCAGTCCGTCTCTATCATTCACATTGCAGCCTCTCTTAAGAATCTGAGGAAGGAGGTGAAATAAAAGGATGTCTGAAAGAGTCATAAGGAATCCCTTTATCTATTTACCTAAATTTACATATAATACATGAAAAAAATATACACCTATAATTCAAATGAAATTTTCCCATCTGGGCTGACAATGTTCCTCTTCCCCAAATGTCACAAGCTAACAAAAGCCTCACTTCCAGTCATGAAAACTCTCCTTTTGAGTTTATGGTCAGGTGTCCAAGAGACTCCCAAAACATCATAGGCTACTGCTGCTGCCCTTGATGGCCTCCTGGAAGTGGAAGTTAAGTCTCTATTGCTGAAGACACTGTGTGCTTAAGACACAAAAACCAGAGGATCTGAGCTGGATCTGACCTGGCAGCCTCCTCCCTGAGCATTAGCTTCCACAGCATTAGAAAGTACCATGCAAGCTTCTAAGGGAAGGAAGTAACCAACATTCCAACCCAGGTATGCTAGGTATGAATTACCATGGCCCCCAATCCATGATATCCCTAAGGGTACAACAGTAGCAGGCATACCTTGGCAGTAACCAGTAGTTCAACAAGAGGAAGATCATGCCTGATACTGGAAACCTGGCCAACCTACCCAGGAATAGTGAAGTCACAGGTCTGAGAGAACCTACTACCACCATTTAACTAAACCAGAATAATTCTTAACTACATTCTAAATAATTCCATATGCCCAAGATGAGTGTGTCTCACCCCTCATCAAAGAAATGTCTCTTTGCAACAGACAGAGACTACTACAGAAAACCACAACTGATCAAAATGCAGAGAAAAGGTGTATGGTAACTAGTGCCAGTTGATACAACTCAACTCCCATACCCAAGCTCAGAGGTCACAGCGTAAGAGAGGACAGGGAGAGACTATAAGAGCCTGAGAAACAGGAAGTTTGTATGAACTGTGTCTACAAGAAACTACACCCATGAAGCCTCACCAATATGACTGCCCGAACAAGGACGACGCCAACAGATGCTCTAACACAGAAGGAGGCTATCTCATGGGACCCCAACCAACAAAGAACTATAGGCAACTAAGGAAGGTTGAGATCAGGAGAAATAGCCTTCCCCTGAGAAGGGATGTCTATTGCTTATCTAGTACCAAGTGGTCAGCTCTGAAATCATACATACAAGTAACATCATACAACCTGAGCAGGTTGTATTTGTATTATATTCAGTAACAGACATATACATATATGTAATAAAGAAAAAGGTCAAATTTGAAAGGGAACAGTGGGGGTATGAGGGAGGGCTTAGAGGGGGAAAAGAGAAAGAGAAAAAAGATATAATTATGTTTTAATTACAAAAAATAGATTAAAGTTTAAAAAATAATATGAGGAAGTCCATGATTACAGTGTGACAAAGGGATACCCGTGCCTTCAAACCGACTCGGCCCCACCTGATCACACAGCATTCAACAGTGCACTCAGCAATAATGAAATCTGAACCTGTCTGTGGGCAGGAGGCCATACTTAAAGATGATCCCAGCATGATGTCACTCCAAACACATTCTTTCAAAAATGACCAAAATGTTTTTCCAATGGTTACAATGATACTTGAAAGAAATGTGTGGCTTCTTCCTACAGCGTTACAACACGCATGTCAAAACCCTTCCTCAAAACGCCGAATATTTAAAAATTGTATTTAAGCCTAGATCAGTACCAGACCATTCCAAAGTGTAGAAGGAATGTGATGGTATACAAAAATCTTCATGAAATGTTATGGAATTCACAGAACTACTTTGTACAAAGACGGTGCAAAATGCCTCTCCCTGCTGCCACCAGAAGTCTGCAATGAGAGAGCGACAAGCACAGGTACAAGAGGAAAATGTGGGACGTGTGCACAGCGTGCCTACCACTCCCTCCCTGAAACCTGAAAATGCAGACAGACTGCAGATGGGGATGGGCTTCTTTCCATAGGGACCTCTCCTCTCAGAAGGAGAAAGTATTTTAATCATTAACAGTTGCAATAACACAGAGCTTAACATGCCAGGTACACTTACCTCATTTCCAATAATGTCAATGTTTTGCTGGACCTGAGGAACCCATTGTCTTAAAATAGCAAATAATTCTGAGACTGAAGTTTTGGGATCAAAGAGAATTTCCTGACATGATGCATCATTGGGATCAAAGAAAGAAAACTCTGAAATACAAAATAGTGCAAATTGAATTTATTAATTGATGGGAGATGTCATTCTGTAAATATGTTTCTCATACTGGTTAATGAATAAAGCACTGTTGGCCAATAGGAAAGGAAGACAGGAGGGACTAGGAGACAAGGAGGAAATAGGAAGTAGTAAGGAGGAGTCAAGATGGAGAGTCTGGAGAGAACAGAACCGCCATTCCTCCGCTCTCGGTAAGACCACATGGAAATACATAGAAATGGGTTGATAATTAAGACAGAGCTAGCTGATAAGAAACCAGTACCTGGCCAACAGAATTGTATCAAATACAGAGTCTCTGTGTATTATTTGGGGCTGGCGAGGCGGCGGGACAAAACCAGCAGTGGCGGGAGGAAAAAGCTTACTCCTTACAATTAATGGTTTTTAGCATTTTGAAAGTAAGTAATTCAACTGATACAAACATTTTCAGAGGTGAGAAAAAAGCCAGATAACATTAAGCAAGTTTAATGAGGCAAGCTTAAAGAGTACAGAGAGTGAGGTTCCCAAGTACCACATGTGTGATCTCAAAGTCTGCGTCATGCAAAAGTAGTAATTTCTAAAGCACAGAGACATTACCAAATTTCATCAGTGTTTTTCTCTGAAAACACAAATGGCAGGTAGTAGATTCCCACTGCAGAGTATAACATACTAAGTAGGAGGTCCACATGTTCTCTTTACTCTTCTATTTTCCCAACGATCTTTAAACAAGCACCCCTTGTCACTCACTGGCCACGTTTGAGGGGAAATGCCATGTGTGGTGATTTGAATGAAAATGACACCCATAGATTTGAATGCTTGCTCACCAGGGAGGGGCACTATTTGAAAGGATTGGAAAATGTGGCCTTGTTGGAGGAAGTGTGTCATCAGGGGTGGGCTTTGAGGTTTCAAAAGCCCATTCTCTCCCTGCTGCTTGAAGATCTGAACACTCAACTCTCAGCTACTTCTCTAGCAGAATGTCTGCCTGTGTGCTGCCATGTCCTGCCATGATGATAGGGGACTAAACTTCTGAAACTGTAAACAAGCTCAATTAAATGTTTTCCTATAAGAGTTGCTGTGGTCACGGTGTCTCTTCGAAGCACTGAGTAAGACACTATTCCAACAGGTAAGGCCCTAGTGCCTAGCAATACAGGAATGAAAGAAAACTAGGGCACAAAGTGACTGGATTATTTTGGGATCTGCACCGATTAAATCCACAAGAAAAAACCTGAAGGACTCATCTCAGGGTTTCTTGTGCCTTTTAAGGGTTGGTAGAAATAGGGAAACCTCCTAAAGATAAAAGACACAGGCTCAGACTTCCTTGACTCTCCCATGAGAGGCCTTACATCCTCTGAGGAGTGAATGGGGGATGGGATGGGGAGGCAGGGGAAGGGGAGGGAGGAGGAACCGGGATGGGTATGTAAAATGAGAAAAAAATAAATAAAAAAGAGATTATTTCATGAAGGAAACACAGTGGTTCAGAAGAAAATCAGATTCTACTGTCTTAATCCAAAAAAAGAAATTATAAAAGGCAGAAAAGATCTAAACCTGGGAAATAGTCCAGAACCAACATTTGCTGAATACCAACAGCTTAACAAACACCATATAAATCCCCACAAATTGTGATTCTGGTTTTTCATAAAGAAAAAAAAATCAAAGTGTACATAAATGACACCGGCTCAAAGTCACACAACTAAGGAGTGGCAATGTCGGGTGGGAAACCAGGTCTGTCTCCACTGTCTGTCCTTCCCTAATTACAATGCTTTGATGAACTAACTCAGTTTAGATAGTGACAACAGACACTGTCCTGGAACTCCTGGAGTCTTTAAGTTTGTCTTCTTTCTCCATGTTTTCACATATTTGGGGTGGGACAGCCGAAAGCTGAAGAGGAAGCACAGAACCAAGGGCATCTATGAAAGTACAGCAGCCATCCATGAGCGAGTACCAGCTTTCTAGTTTGTCATCCTGTTCATATTGGAATAAACAGGGAAAGAAGAAAGGACATGCTTCACTGTGCTTCAGGGAAGCTAACTGAAAAATGAGACTGCTCACAGTTAGGACCCCTTAGAGAAGCCAAGGGTAGTCAGTGCTCAGCTGAGAAGTGTGCTTGAGACCCCAGGCCTGAGAGATAGAGGATAGAGATCAGGAGTTCAAGGCCAGCCTTGACTGCGTAAGAAACATAGTAAGTGTGAGGCTAGCCTGTCTCAAAAAGAAAAAAATAATCTAAAGTTCTTTTAAAAACTCTAAAGCCAGGGTGGGTTTCACTTGGCCCCAAACCAGCTATGGATCAGTAACGGGTGCCTTTTTGGAGAAATGGGTGACACCTGGCATTACAATGACAACTTTGGGAAGACTTTAACTGAAGTGAGATGTCAATCATAAGGCTGCCCTGGAAAAGAAAGGCCCCTGAGTCTCTCAAGGGCCGTGGCAAGTAGTCTTTGATTTGTGTGGCAAGTTTCTGATGCCTAAAGAACTCATAACAGCATCTCTAAAAGGATTGTTGTAGCATGTAAATAAAGTCACAGGTAGAGAGCTGTGGCTGAGTGGGGACTTTGATGTCTGCCAGGGACACACAATGCCCATTCAGCTTCCTTTATTAACTAGTGTACTGGCAAGTTTTATGTCAATTTGACACAGGCTAGAGTCCTTGGAGAGATGGAACCTCAAATGAGAAAATGCCTCTATAAAATCTGGCTGTAGGCAAGCTTGTGGGGCATTTTCTTAGTGATCGTGGGCGGGGCCACCCCAGGGCTGGTGGTCCTGGGTTCTATAAGAAAGCAGGCTGAGCAAGCCATGAGAAGCAAGACAGTAAGCAACACCCCTCCATGGCCTCTATGTCAGCTCTGTCTCCATGAGTTCTGCCCTGCATGAGCTCCTCCTGCACAGGCTTACTTCAATGATGAGTGTGTATAAGCCAAATAAAACCTTTCCTCTGCAAGTTGCTTTGGTATGGAATCTCATCACAGCAATTAATAACCCTAACTAAGACAACCAGGAAGCTTTTTATTGCTATTCTATCTGGCACACTACTAAAATATTTCTGTTCAGGTCTATTTGTATGTATTTGTGTTGTTAAATAAAAATATTCCTAAAACATCTAGAAAATTAAGAACTAACCCAAATGCTTCTTGGGACATGATCTGAGTAAATGAAAATCCTATTCATTTACTTTTTTAAAATGAAATGGCTCCAGAGTTGTCAGCAAGTAATATAGACAGCATTTAACCTGAATTCTTCCTGACTTCCTACTCAAAAAAAAAAGCATGTAATAGTTATAGTTACTAGTTAGCTTATGCTATCTCTACATTTAAAAAAAAAAAGGTTCCTGAGTAAGAAAAATAAGTAAAGTCTCATAACATTTTTGAGAGTCATCTAATATAACTTTAAGTCTATTAAATTGGCATAAGTATCCAATAAAATAAAAATCAATTGCTAAACTAAGAGTATATACCTTAAGAAAGAGAAATAAACAATTATCTGGGTTTAATATGTCTTGTGCTACCCTGAAAAACTGTATGTTAAGGAAATGTGTGTCTAAAAGTTGTGAAAGGGTGCATTCAACAACGGAAGCTAAGAAAAGGTATTAAGTATGGAGTCAGAAACGTTACTACGGAAGAGGACAGAACCAAATGACTAAAGGAGGAGATGGCAAGGGAAAGGGCTGTGATGTGAGCACAGTGGCAAAAACCTGAGTTGACCTATAGCCATGACATTTTCTTCCAGTTCTGGTCTATTCTCTAGTCTGTTCTTGGTGCTGGAGTGTAAAGGATTTTTAATTTTGGAGGAATCCTAGAAAATGAAGATTCTGCATCTATCAAAGGTAATTTTCTCTGCCATATGCTATCTTTAAATGTTTTAACTTTTTAATTAAAAGAAGTGAGAGGTTTTGTTCATCTTTTTTAAAACTATACGGCTTTTTCTATTTGGGTTTGAAATTACGGTCACTGAAAACTGAACTATGATCCTATTTAATCTCTTGGCTTTTTTTTTTAACTTCTAAAAACTCAAATTCTACAGTCATTCTACCTTCACATTAACTTTAGGGCTTTTCAGAGGGACCCAAAATTTTCTAATGAAAATTATTTTGTTCCCTTCCCTTATATAATGGTGTAGGAAAGGAGGAGAGGGAAAGAAAGACCTCTACTAATTAATCAGACTTACTTGCTTGGGAAGAATTATCAAGCAAAAGTGAAACTAATTAAAGGCTGACTCTGTGTTAAACTGAGCAACTTAAAATGCTGACAAATGACAAGTGCTGCTTAACTATTTTTATGACATGATACTTCTGTGTTATAGACAGATGACTGACATGACAAGTATCAGTGAGTTGTCCAGTAACTGTATGAAAGTCTTAGAAATCCGGAAGGCCCTGGCCACTTTTCTACATTGATCACATTATAATGAACTCCCGTTAACCCTTAAACCTTTAACCATGGTCTTAATTTTTGTTTTGTTTTGTTGGTGTTTTGTTTTGTTTTTTTGGTTTTTGTTTTGTTTTGTTTTCTCCAATGTCTTTCTCAAAGGGTTACAAGCATCTGAAAAAAAACCAAAAACCTGCCAGAGCCAGAAGATTTATGGAAAAGCCTGTAAACGGGGCTGAGTGAGACGCTCCAGAGCCCTGTGGAAAGCTAAGCAACCAGTAGGCCTGGGACTGACAGACCAAGACTCAAAGAACTAGCAGGGTCACTATGCGTCTAGCCTTGTTTGGAATATTTCTGGCACTTCAGTGTTTTGCTGTCCAGGTTTAAAGTGCCCCTTTTCTCTTAAGGTCTGGAAATTAACAGCAGTTTGGGAAAGCAAGCCTTTACAAACAGAAGGAGGCAGTATTTCTTCTCTCTGAATCCATGCCCTTCTCTCTGAATCCAGACTTCACGAGCTCTCACTGCACACAGGACAGCCTGTTTTCTAGGTCACATGTGTGAGACTTTGTCCTGACATCTTGGCCTGGAATGAATTTTAAAAGTCTGCTCTGAGAGGCCATGTTACCAGACGGCCTGAAGATACC